GATTAAAGATTAAAAATCGAATATATGCACCGATCATAGACTTTATATATGTTTTTCTTGTAAAAAATGATAATTAAGGGTTTAAAAGAAACATTACTGTATGTAAATTACATACAGTCAAAAGATTAAAAATTTGTATATCAGCACCTCAGAGGTAAGGTATATTAAGTCACAAACTCGAAATTCTTAAGGAGAGATTTGAAAGCGGACTTAATGTTTAACCCTTTAACGACTTGTTATTTTATACGTATAGTATAATAGAATAGACGTGTACTATACGTAGCATACGTCTATTGAGGTGACCCGTCGTTAAAGGGTTAAACAAATCTCCACCATATTGAAATAACTCATTGTCACAAAAAATGTCACTTAACACACCTTACCTTTGAAGTGCTGATATAATAATGTGTTTTATATAATGGGGTAACAAGTTAGTCCATGTATGTGTTTAGAGTTGCAATGTTTATGTATGTGTTCTATGGTTAAAGAAAACAGGAAACAGGAAAAACAGGAAATTAGAAAAGCAACAAGAGCTCTTCGTAAACGAAGCCGGAAATATTTAGAAGCTAATGGCAATATTTTTGAATAATTATTTAAATACCGCTGGTGATCAGTATTTAATGTTAGTGCATAAGATTTTGTTTAATTGTAGTTATGCAGTAAGAGTTATGTAATAACAAAAAAAGAAAATAAAAGAAAATCGGATGACATCAGTTTTTTTACATATAGCTGAGTCTATATGTATGTGGCAAACTACTGGCACTATTTTTCTGAAAATTTGTATATAGCAATTATACGAGGTGCTCGTTTCAGCTAAAATATTTTTAACCCAACCCAACCCAACCCCAATTTTTTCCTTCACCATTGTATTGTACGCTGAAAAATGAGGGAACTTTGTCATTACATCCCTATATGTGAAATGTATGGTTTTCGTACGAACGAAGAGAAATGAAAGTACTATATTTAACAATATAAATGAAAAATAGGTTGCCTTCAACTTTCAAACATTTATGAATTCTTTTCAAAAACCAGGCAAAAAATAAGTGGCACTCCGAATTTCTTCCGAAGAAAGAGATTGAAATGCATCACGAACTCTATCTTGGCATTCTTCCTTTGTTGTAATCGGTGTAGCATACACGATATCTTTTATATCGCCAACCCAACCCAACCCCAAACAAAAAATCTAATGGAGTGATATCGGGCGAACGGGGAGGTCATTTATGGGGTTCGTTGTTAGCTATCCAACGATCCTCAAAACGATTTTGTAAAAAGTTATATAGGAAGCGCACTACTATGAGGTGGAGCTCCGCCGTGTTGGTACCACAGCTGATTCCAGTTTAGATTTAGCGGCTGTAGATAATTTTGTAAAATTTCCAGATATGTTTCGCCGGAAATAATGAAGAAAAATTAGAAACAAAATTTGCCCTACAATTTCCAATAACCTTACCATTGAAATGTTCGTTATAAAAGTGCAGTACTAGAGTACATCATCATTATTTATGGTAGCTAAAACATTAAAACTCCAATATCCTTGAAATTGTCTTTCAAGAAATATGTGTAGGTTAGTATCACTCCAATAAGGAGAGTTAGCCGGTTAAACACACCATTCTTGTGAAATTTTGCGTTATCCGTCCAAATTATTTTTTCCAAAAAAATCTTCTTCTTCACCTGGCCTTAAACTTTGTGCCAATGAGTAAGGATGAAAGATATGTATTTTTTAAATCCTGTGATTGTTTTCTCAGATATTCCCAAATCTCTTTTAGCATCAATATCGAATTTTCAGGATACGCTCTGAAGTACCCCAAAACTGTAATTTCATTTTCTTGGTTATCTACGATTGGTTTAACTCTTTTGTGCTTTTTGTACAAACTGGCCATAGGTTCTACAATTACTAAATCCTAAACGGAACATGATTAACATATTTTTGCTACGTAAACGTCAAATTTTAATGCGATAGTTTTTGTTTCTTCGGTTTGGTTGCTTTAAAACAAAGCTAACTGATAATTTTAAATTAAATAGTAACCAAGCAAATTTTATTTTTTTCCAGTTTCTACGGAAACCATACATTTTAGATATAGGGATGTAGTGACAAAGTTCCCTTATTTTGTGGGTGAAGAAAAAAGTTGGGGTTGCCATTTAAAAAAATGAAGTTTTCGACTTTTGGAGATAGGGAAATTCGGTGCAAATTTCTGACCAGCCTGTATAATTTTTTTAAAAACTTCAAGGGTTATGTAAGCTGTGGGTCTTCTCTGTGCAAACCCTGAGAATATTTGGCCGGATTCGAGTGTAATTTCGAAACATTATTTTTATTGTGAAGGGGCTGAAATAATTCAAAAATGGTGCACTCTAGACATAATATGATGACTTATATCAAATTATATTAAAATTTAGCAGGAATCTCGAAAATTCAATAAAAATTGGTACATTCCATTTAAAATAACGAAGTTGGGGTCAATTTCCGGTATAACCGGAAGTTGGAGAAAACTGAAAAAATTTTAGCTAAACCGAGCACATCGGGTAAACCCTGTATGCATATTTTCACAAAAATAGTGCCAGTAACTTGCCATATACATACAGTATGTCCTCGGATCGAGTTACAAAGAGAAAAAAAAATTTTATTACTGAATTTTCAAACTTATCTCAGCATAAATAATGCGTCGGATATGTTCAAACCACTAAATCGCACGAATTTTATACTCTAATTACTAACTAATTATTCCCATTTTTATGTAAAAATTTGACCTTTTTTCTAAACTAAAAATTTTTTAAAGTTCAATTTATGATATGTAACCATAGAAAAGTGATGTAAATCCAAATTCTACACTCTCTAGACGAAGTCAACATTTCAAAAAAGTAAATGTGTGGTGTGCTATAACATATCACGGGGTAATTGGGCCATATTTCTTCGACGAAAATGTAAATCAATAGAAATATTTTGATATGTTACAAAATTATTTTAATGAACAACTTGATGAATTACCCTTAAATTTTATACGGTCAATGTACTTTCAGCGAGACGGTTCACAATCACACATTGTGACTGAATGGTCACATTTTATGACCAGCACATAGTCCTGATCTTACAATTATGGATTTTTATTTTTGGGGACGATTCAAACAAATTGTTTACAGTGAACCATTACAAGGAGATGAAGAACTATTAAAACTAAGAATAATTAATGCGATAGAATCTCTACCACTGGCAGAAATTCGTAATTCTTGCAGAGAATTTAGAACTTGTCTTCAATGTGTGCCGAATAGATGATTTGTTCACTTACAAACTTACATAGTGTGTTATTACTTATTACATACATTTACATTTAAAATATTTTATTCAATTATTTAGCTTTATTTTAATTTGATTTGTCCGTATATTTTTCACTAACATAAGTTGAAACTTTTATGGTTTCTATGGTTACATATCATAAATTGAACTTTTTCAATTTAGAAAAAAGTCCAATTTTTACATAAAAATGGGAATAATTGGTTAACTTCTATAGTTAAAGTATAAAATTCGTACGATTTAGTGGTTTGAACATATAGACGCATTATTTATGCTGAAATAAGTATATATAATACAAAATTTTTTCCTCTTTGTAACTCGATCCGGGGACATACTGTATAGACTCAGCTCGTCATGACAGACCTGTACAAAACAGTCCTAAAATTTGATTCGTTCCTCTCGACTCACCCGGTATAAAGACTATATTTATTTTCATTTTTCTTTTGATTTAAATTATTGATTAATATAAAAAAATTACTTGATTTAAATCATTGATTAAAATCATGTTTTAAACCTAGTGATTTAAATGGAGCGAACCTTGCTTAAGATAATATTGTATTTTTTCGACGTTCTGCGACAATTTTTATTGAGCAATAAAGATTTATTATGATTATACAAAGAAAATTATTTTATATCAAAACTTTACCAAAAAAATTAAACAAAATATATGTCACCATAATTGCAAATTTTTATTTACTTAATCAAAATAAACAATAAATCACGAAACTTTACAATGGAATTTATTATTGCAAATAATATTAAAATAAATATGAAATCCATGATATTTTCTCACCTTTCTTGGACGATTTATTATAAAAAAACTCAACCGATTTCTGGGAGTAATCCATCATCAGGAGTTTTGCAACAAGAAAAATATCAAAATAAGATATCGTCTGCTGCGTCTAAAAATTAAAAATAATCAATCATGTTGATCAATAATCAACATTATTTATAGAGTTTCTTTAAAATAAACTGAATAAGAGAACATCATGTTATTTCATTTTATTATAAATTTCTTTTAGATACATTTTTTATAACCATTCTGTATATGGCCCCACATGGTGTTTATTTATAGAATTCCACGCTATTTTCGAGCTCAAACATAACTCGAATGTGTGAAAAATGAAAAACTGTACCAAAATTTGCCTGGCGTACAGAATATAAATCAAATGAAACGATACATAAGCGTACTCAACATAATATATGAAGCAAAATGAGAAGAGAAAGAGGATAGGAGATATTTTAGTTGTCGTGTAGCGGGTTTTAAAAGAAGTCGGCCGTTCGTGTTTCTTAAATGGTAACCGAGGATTTGCCAACCTTGAACTGAACGCGAAACGTCGTGAATCACGGCTGCATGAATGAGAAAAAACCGTATAGTATCGGGCTATTTTAACCAGGTATTTTATATCAACTCCCCTCGGCTTATATGGGCGAGGCTATGACTCACAAGTGGCTTATAAGGAAAAATATTAATTAAAAAATTTTTTAATTATCGCTTTAAACAAATCAAAATGATCAAAATTAATTAATTTCTCGATAAATTTATTGTGTAAAAGTCGCCAAAAAAAATTAAAGTTTGCTTTTTACCCAGACGAAATGGCGGCCGCCACCGGCTCCAAAAAAAAAAATCTTCATCGAAATTATCGTTGAAAAACGTGTGATATTTACATGATATGAAGATAAAAATGAACACGACGGCTTAATATTAATTACTTACCATATTGAATTAATAGAAGTGTTGTTATAATATCACAAAAATCAACTGCCAGATGCACCGGTGTCTCGTTGACTGTTCTCGATGACTGTAGTAGAACGAAGCGGACGTTGATCCACCGGCGTTATTTGTTTCGTTTGCGCTTGCGTAAAAATATTACTACGCCAATAACACACGTTCACTTTTACGCAGTCGATCACTATTTAAAAATGATTACAATGATAATACTCTTCCTTATATGGAATTAATAAATAAAAATAATTGATTACGTTTGACAAAAAACGTCAAATGAAATTTAATTGATTGGTGGTGATCGTTTAAGGAATAGTACTAGTTTTTTGGCGCGCGCATGGCGGGCTTTTTTAAATTATTTATAACTTTTTCACGGCCCCCTTGGACCGTTAAAAGAAGCCCCGCGGTGCGATTTATAAGCGGAGACGGGATCGCGACCGTCCCGGGAGAAGAATCTCGAAAATCCTGTCAAAACGGCACTCGGAACTGTCCCGAAACCGTGACTCAGACTATCAGCCAATGTAATAGCGGCGTCTTCCAAATGCCCATAAATGGGCAAACAAACTTATGAATCAAAATGGCTGCGCGAAAATTCAATTTTATCACCACGCCCAAATAATTGATTTTTGTTGGCTATAAGTACCACTCGGTATATAAATATTTTTATTTCAAATTCATATTTTATATAATGGCCACTTATCTACCAATGTTACGTTTCAAATGAACTTAATTCTATACTTTATTTGGTAAGAAACGAGTTATTTTCTGTAATATAGATTACCCAATATACATCCATTTTTCTTGAATACGTTAATTTTGATCTTTAATCAAAACAAGTTATCACACAAGTTACTGTAACAGAATCACTTATAAGCTTATAACATACAATAAGCCTCAATAAGATTCCAATTAATATAATTGCGAGAGATGTAAATGCAGATCCAGAGAAGTTTTGGTCGTTTGGAAAATCATTACGCAAAAATCATTACCTTCCCATTACATTATCAGATGGAGATACTATACTGCCGCCACCAAAGACAGTGTAGATCTATTTGCTTCTCATTTTGCTAGTTCTTACAATTTACCGGGGAGTGTTATTATGAATTCCGAAAATTTTGATAATGCAATCACCTTTGGAGGAACTTTTATGGAATATCTCAGATCAGTAAAGAGGAATTGTGGACGTGACTCAGGAGTTTTAAATCAAAATCCACAACAGGCCCAGAAGGTATTCCGGCTTTTACCTCTGCGCCATATTTTCAATTTGATTATCGAGGCATCATACTTTCCGCCGGTCTGGAAACAAAACAGAACTTGTCCAATTTTTAAAAAAGGTGATAAACATTGTGCCGATAATTACCGACCCATTGCTATTATAAAAAATTTCGCTAAGTTGTTTGAACAGATCATTTTGAGGAAAATAGAATTTAACCTAAATTCACGAATATCAACAGAACAGCACGGATTCTGCAAAGGCCGTTCCACTACCACCAATTTAACAGTTTTAAGTCAAAACGTTTACGAAGCCTTAGATTGCCGTTTACAAACGGACGTTATTTACACTGACTTTTCACACGCATTGATTAACTCGATCATGATATTCTGTTTCAAAAAATTAAGGAGGTTGGCTGCGATTTAAATCTTTCGTTGCTTCTGAAATCGTACTTATCAGATCGAACACGAGTGGTGTGCCACAAGGTTCATGTTTAGGACCTTTACTGTTTACGATGTTTGTGAATGAATTGCCAAATTTGTTCAAAAGTTCAACATTAATGTATGCCGACGATCTGAAGTTTTTCAGAACAATTTGAATCGGATAATGATTGTACCAGCTTGGAGGAGGACTTGACCAAGTTCTGTTCATGGTGCTAATCAAATGGGTTGTTGTTGAACGTTGCAAAATGTTAAATCATAACATACAAATAAAAGAGAAGTTATTCATTATGATTATCGGCTGGAAGATACAAGTCTTGAACGTGTGTCTGAAGTTAAGGATGTGGAGATTTGGTTCGACAGTAAACTGCTGCTCAGCGGCCACATAAGTAAGCTGTCTTCTGATGCCCTGAAAGTCCTCGGGTTTATCACTCGAAACAGCTGCGAGTTTTCCAGGTTGAGCTGAGTGTCTACTCTCTATAAAGCGTTCGCGAGAAGTAAATTGGAGTATTGTGCAATTGTCTGGTCACCAACAACTCAGAATAACATCTTCGCAATAGACAGGTCGCAGAGGAAATATGTTAGATATATACATTTCCTAAAATTCCGGCATTATCCTCCTAGAGGAAGTGATTACTATCATGCGTTACTTCAGCGACATGATTCCAGTTCACTCGAATCAAGACGATAGCAACTGTGCGCTTTTGTTTGTAAACAACTTACTGCTTGGCCGTGTGACAGTACCTGAAGTCCTATGTCGATTAAATTTCCGAGTACCAAGAATGGAGTCCAGGAACACTAAGACTTTCTTACCGCATAGGGGTAACACCAATTGGGGCCTACATTCGCCTATCAATAGAATTATGCGCGCTGCTGATTTTGTAGATAATAGATTGTGTTAATTTTGTTTATATATCACTTATTAAATTAGTTCATGTATGGTCACCTTCTTCAAATAATTTTTGGAATTATTATAATATTACCTTTGTTATGGGACTTATGTCTGTTGGGGTAATAAAGATTATTATTATTAATAGCAATTTATCGTCCACCTTTCATAAATGCCACAACCTTTATAAATGATTTGACAACTTATCTGGGAAACAGTAGTAAAAGTTCCTTGTGGGAGACTATTATTTATCAAAACTGCTACCTCTCCAAAGATTTTGTATCCTTGTGTAACAAAGAACCAACCAGAACAACTACAACCACCAGTACATGTATCGATCATAGTTTAATCAGATTGCCAACAAAATACAATAACTTAAATTTAATCTTTTTCTTACACCAGAAACATATCACATAGAAACTCCACTCAGCGGCATAAAATACGCATCACCTAATGATGACCAAATTTAATTAAGTTATCAAACTGTAATAACTTTTGAACGTATTACTCGATTTGAATAAGGTTTTTTTATTTGAAAGGTCTACCATTTGCCCATATTTCTGTATGTGCCTATCCGTGCAGGTAAAAGTTCAGTTTTTTGGTGAATAAAACTGAAGAACTCAAGATAACAGGTTCGTTTACTTAACCCGTTCACTGCTTTTAAATTTTTTTTGTAAATCTCATTCTCAAAACATATTTTTACACAAACCAAGTTTAGTACCTACTTATTTGCTTAGGCTGAACGTCTTGGTTGGTCACCAACCAAAGCATATATAGGAGGAGGTAGATAACAGAGTGTGAAGAGAGCCTGGTTTAGGAGAACCTAAACAAATGCCTGGGCCATCATTCGTGCTTTGATGGCAATACAGCCAGGCATTTTTTATCTAAGGATAAAGTTTATTATCATTTTTAATTTCATATGTTCTTAATTTTTTTCATTAGCAATTAACCAAGAATGTAAAAGAGTTGACTGGTGGCATAAACAGCTAGAATTATTCATAATTTGACATATGGCTATGATTCTCTGCAAACCCCAACAAAAATAGTATTTAGGATTAAGATCCAGTGAACTAGGAGATCACTCAATACTACCTCGTCTACCAATTCATTGTCCAGAAGTTACCTCATCTAGATAACGCTGAATATTTACTCAAAAATGGGTTGGAATTCGTCTTGTTGAAACAATATCTGATTCCAACAGGTTTCTTAGTGCAGGTATTTCAAAGTAGCATTTCACACCTACCAGCGGTTAAATTTCCGTCGACAAGAAAAACCCAATTAACTGCATTATTTTTCTTTGCTTTTTATTGTTATTAGAGTATTATTTTTGTATAGTCTCATGCGTCGATACGCAAACCAAGCACTGAGCCAATTTAAGTGTCATTGTATTTCATTTAAATTAGCGTACTTTAGTTTATTTTAGTATAGTTTAGATTAATTCTTCGATATAACAAACTTTCATTTTATCATGGCAGAAAGAAGCATGTGAAATTCCGATGAAACCACGATAAATTAATTCAACGTCGTTCTCAAAAACGCGAAAAATATCACATCAATTAATCAGTCCAAGGAACTCTAGTCAAAAAATTATTGTTAAATAATAAAATGTTTATAATCGCCGGTTATTAAATTTTGCTGTACATTTAAATAAATGAAAACAAAATTTACTTATATAAAAAAAATTCTTTTATTTTGGAAAATTGTACATGTTCTCCTATAATTCGCTAATAATACTTAAAACATAAGTAAATCATATTCATTTATGTACAAATCGGATACAAATTATATAATAAAATAAACGATTACATAAAACATTAATTAATCTGAATAGTCAGTTTCCAGAAACATAACATTACATTACATTCTTTCGATGATAATATTGCATCATCATAAATACACAATATTAATTTTCCCTAAATTTATCGCTTACTGTTTATAATTTAAGTATTTGATTTCGTATTAATTTTTAGTTGAACAATAAACTAAATCAAACCGCGTTTTTTCTTGTAATCCTGTAAGTTTAAACTTCGTTTTGGTCCTAAATCTTTTGAAACTGTTGTTGGCGTTACACTTACTACGGGATCTAAAAAAAATATTTTTTATTATTATGAAATATTAACATTCAAGATTAACAATTACTTGTTAAAGGAACTTCTAAATCGATTTTTATATCGAAGTCGTGAGCGGAAAATAAATCATCCTGAGAAACTTGAGTTGGAGCAGTCGTTTTTTGTTCAACTTTTTCTTTTGGCTCTTCTGGTTTTGTCTCCTCTGGTACAGTCACAGCTTCTTCTTCCGCAGAAGCTTTAAAATTCATTCTAGGTTTTGTTGAACGTCTCGTAAAAGGGTCGTCAATCTAAAATTATGATTATTTAATCTAAATTATGTTGTTGTTTATTTGAAAACTAACTTTTTTTCCTTTATTAGCCCGCTTTTCTTCTAAAATTGCTTTTTCAGCTTCTTCTACATTGCGTTTTCTGTTTCTATCATTAATGTAAGAGATACTAGAAATAGTCGAGGTACGCATTTTATCTAATTCAGAAGCTCGTTCTTCTAATACGTCGATTTTTTTGTTTATTTCTCTAACTATATCTTCGTCACCTCTTCCGACAGCAGAATCTCTGTCTTTCATTAATTGAGTTTTCTTCATTGCATAATTATATGTTTTTTGGGTAAATCTATCTTTTTCTTTAAGCTAGAAAGACATGTAAAATTTAATTTTCATAATGGAATTAGGTAAATAACTATTACGTTTTTCTGACATTATGTAACGTCACTTTTTTTATAACTAGTGATATAATGACCATTACATAACTACAAATTGATAAATTAACATCTGTCACTAATAGGATAAGTCAAGTTTTGAACAAAAATTGCTTTTTCAATAGAATTAGATAAAATTTTTTACTTAACACGTTATGAAAAGACTAATTTTGTTTGACGAATGTAATATTTGCCAAAACGAGCGAGTTTTGCAAATTACGTGAGTAACTATTACTGGTTACGTAAATAACTATTACAAACCTGCATCTGATATCATTAAAAGAATTTCTGTAAACAACAACAAAGTTCAAACGCGTATTGATGAAGTGAATTGAAAGCTCCTTGTGTAATTATTTGCAAACGACCTATTTCCCTATTATTGGCATATGTTTGTAAAAACTGCTGTTTGCAAGGATTTATTTGCATTGTACGCACAAATCCACGCATTATTTGCGTGGATTTGTAAGCCATTTAAAACAAAATGTACACAAGATGTTAGCAATATATTGCGTTTAAATAACTCCATTTAGTTGCTAAAAATCTGAGTGGTACATTGCATGAATCTCTTCAAATTGTCATTGACGCAGTAAACCAAATCCAAACAACGTATTAAGTACGCGGTTATTTGCTCAGTTGTGTGAAGAAAATGGCGAGAACTTTCATCAATCTTTCTTTGACACTAAAGTACGGTGGCTGTTGAATGGTTATGTTTGATAAGAACTTTTTCTCTTGTTGATACTATTTTAGAGCTTTTGGATGCTAAAGATCCAATTTTAAAACACAATTTGATAAAATGGAAACCATTGTCTATTTAATAGATTTGTTTAGTAAATTTAATGACGTTAACTTGCAGTTACAAGGTAACAATTTTAAATGTGATAAAATCAAATGCCATCCATTCAGATTTTTAAATATAAGGTTTGAAGATGTTTTAAATATATTAATACTACAATGGATAATCAATCCATATGGTTGGTTATTGAAAAAAAAGGATTATATTACAAAAGGAACTGGTCGCAATAAGCACTAACGCTGAAGTTATGGTACAGTTAAGAAACGGATATCAGCTATTTTGGCTTCAAAAAGATATACTTGTTACTCATTCCATATTGTCGGATATCACGATAAAGTTTTTCATTGCTTTTTCAATGTCATACACAGTGGAGAGAGGTTTCAGCGTGGTGCAGTTACAAAACTGGTCACCACTAATTGAGGAAATATAAGATTAACACATTTGAAATTGGTTAACTTTAATTTGAAAATATACAATATTAGCTAAGCAGGCGGTCTAGCCCAAACGGAAAAACATGACAAGTGGTCTATAAGACAAACAAATTGGGGATTACACCCTAAGGCATCAATTAAAAAAAAACCATACATTTTTAGACTTAATAAAGCGTAATCGCGACGATTAGGTGCGAATCCACAATGAGAATATTTCATGACATTTTCGTCTCATGAAATAAAAATAGCAGGATAACTTTAATTTCGTTGTGGAAATAGGGATTGAAATACATGATATACTAGAGATAATCTCGTGAAACAATGTGTCATGAGAGTTTCATTGCTTGTACAAGTTTCAACGTATAAACATGACTCTTGCGAATTTCGCATGAGACAATTATTTCACGCGCTGCACGTGAGTTGCGCTGTTGTGTCGTAAGATTTTTTGTTTCCCCAAAAATGAGTTTTGCAAGTGAAAAAAAAAATTGTTTAAAAAGATAAGAATGTACTGTTAACTGGACAAGAAGTATGATACTGCCAGTTTATCGAATTATATGAATCCTATCCTAATTTGTGGGACGGTTCGCCCGAAAACTATAAAAATAGAAATTTTCGGAAATCAGCTATCGATGAAATTTGCAATTAGTTACGAGTTCCGACTCAAGACGTGAAGAATAAAACACCTTCGTTGCCAATTCCAAAACATAATCATGAAACGAAAACGCACTAAAGGCAGCAACACAAAATTTGGAAGTAAAATGGTAATTTCATGATGCCTTAAAATTTATAGATGGAGATATTGCCATGGAACATCTCTTCCTCGGTGGAAATAGTAATACAATAAGGATCACTTTTTCAGTTTCTAATTCAATTGGTCTTCTTAGTACACGAAATGTAGCTAACGCTAAACCAAAAGCATTTTCAATTATTCTCTGTGCCCGTGATAGCCGGTATGTTTCCACAACTGTGGAAACAGCGTATTCATAGACACCTTATATCATGAGAGAAAAATTTCTAAACTTGGGTGTTTCACAGGAATATCTATGTTCTGTGGAAACATATCTGAGATACATTTCTCATAAAACAAAAATCTTATGAAATTTTAATCTCCTTGTGGACACCTAGCTTTTCAGCAAATTCAGCCTTCTCATACCTGAAATTGCTTACAGAAAAAAAAATATATATAAACCTTGTATAAATCTAGTAAAAATGCTGCAAAAACTGATGGAAAATGATGTAATTTCTAACTCATATTTAGAATTTCATCCAGAATCAGCAAATTTGTAGCTTTTAAAACCATTTTCCTTATAAATATTAAAAAATATTATAACTTCTCATATCTCTAGTTTCAAATTACACAAAGAGGGTTACTTATGACGCGTACTGTATACAGGAGGTTTTAGCGAGACCGTTCATTAGACGTTTATGGGGTTCTGGCCAAAATAAAAATTTGAGAGTTCAGATTTAATTATAATCAATTGCGTTCTCTTGGACTAAAATATTTCCAGATTTCTAGTACTTCCGGTTATACCGGAAGTCGCCACGGCTGTCTAGATCGTTTGGACACTTTACTATAGCACGTTAACTTTATACGTTACATAATATTTTTTTCCGTCGACTGTGTATTTATATGATTTATAAATGTATACAAAATCATTCATTAATGACACCTATTAATAAATGATTTTCTATTAATAAACGATTTTAAGAAAGTCCGACCGAACTAATATAGTAGTCAATTTTTCTCCAATCAAATTGGTAATACCGACCAAATCGACCACTATATCTATTCGGTAAGACTACAATATTAAGTTTTGACTTTTGACACATTAAGAGTGAGGTTTTTATTTTGCCAGTGATAGAATTGGGAGATTTTTCAACGAGGGATTTTCTCTATTTTGTTGAAAGGACAGTTAACGGAAAAATATTGTAACTAACTATAGTAAAATAAACGTATATTAAAATGCGATTAATTATCTCAATAATTAAGGCGTTCGCTTCGCTCGCTCACGCGTTAAAATATCTCGATAATTAATCGCCTTCATTAATAGACTTGTTGGTTAAATAACTATAAATGGTACCCACCATATTTTATTACTTCGTCGTCTCATGTTATTTCTTTTATACCCGACATGTCCCATACTTAACATTAATAGTTTGGGAGATAATTAGGGTCTTTTGAAAAATGGACACATATCTTATCGATATGAACCTAGTGTGCCATGGAAAAGAAATGTTTTTTGCATTTTCGATTAATTAATCACGTGTTAATCCGACCAAAAAATGTAGTAGATAATGAAGCGGAAGAGGTGAATACCTTGGCTTACTTCGCGACCAATCCCAACGCCTCAATTCGACCTGTTCAAGAAGATCTGGGAATCATACTACGAACTTTGTCACGCTTTTCATGTATATAAAATAAATTAAGAATTTCTTGATGATGTGTAAATATTATTTTTGTAATTCGCGACGGTAATGAAAGCTATTACAGTACTCAAACGGGTGCTGTAATGAGACTCCTTACAGCATCCGATGCTATAATGAGATTTTAGTAACATTTTATGGAACCAGTTCAAGTTGGTAACATTGGTCATTTTCTGAAATTTTCTTCTTAATCTTCTTCTCTTCGCACCACGCCTTAAATTTAGCGTACTGTTGTTCGTACCTTTCGTGGGACTTCTCTGGAAGTAGTGTTTTAATAGAACTCTGAACAATTTCTCTTATTTCGGGAAGTATACATGAAGCATTTTTTTTCAGGTGTATACATTTTGTGTTTAGACAATTTCTAATAGACTGCCTAAGTCTGACGTCACAGAGGTGGGCGAAGCTTATAAAGACTCCAAACAGTTTCGTTGCTAACCACAGTTGCTAGATAAATCGCCAAAAAATGACATTTGAAATGTCATCACTTAGTTTATTTTATTTTAACACTAATGGAAAATTGCATATGGTGATTTACCGTTAGCAACACAGTTCAATTCAATGTATATTTCTATTTTCAAGTGTTACGGTGTTACCAACTGCTACATAGCTATTTCCCTACATTGTCAAAATTTATTTTATTTTTCTAAAAAAAAAACGGATAAAAACGCGAATAACAAAGAATAGCATAAAAAACACGTTTCGTAAGACTTAAAGCAGTCATTCATTAAAAAACTCGTTTTTAAACTTGAATTCGTGCATTTCAAGCGTGTCTTAAGAAACTAATTTTTTAATATACTATTTCGTTATTGTTATTGATTTGAACTCTTTTTAGTACTAATATTTTTTTTATATTAAGTTTGTTAATAACTCATGAAACATCTGTTTTCCATCGCACACTACTATCCGTGCAAAAAGTCAAGCCCCACTTTAGAGATCGATATCTTCGTAACCGCTCGATGGAAAAAATTGCGGTAAAGTTTACTGCGTATCACATGTTAATTTGGAAATTCTCGGGTCCGCGGTTTTTCTTTTATCGCGAGATAAGTGAAAAAGGTACCCGATTTTTGAGAGTGCGTTACGTAGAAATATTCAGTGATTATAACAAACTTTGTCGCAATTTTTTTTATCGAGCGGTTGCGAAGATATCGATCTCTAAAGTGACTTTTTGCACGGATAGTAGGTTCATATCGATAAGATATGTGTTATAAAAGACGCCGAAGACCACCAAGTAATAAAATATGGGATATGCCATTTAAAAAAATTAAGTTATGGTACTTCCAAATTTCGAAAAGTTAACGTATCCAAAACATACTCCATCATGTTGCTTAACCCTAGGATAGTTAACCAATAAAATAACTATAGTAACTAAATGCTCGCCGGGCCTGAGAGGCCCGGTTTATGCATCCTAGGGTTAAGCATGTTCTGAATTCTAAATTGATATCCCAAATTGATAGCCCTAGAGCAGATTTTTTTTTAGAAAAAATCGAATAACTCGAGAACGGCCGAATCAAATTGCAAAAAGTAAAGTAGACAAATATAAAAATAATGTAAAAATATACAGGGTATTCAATTTGACAAAATAAAGTAGGTGGTGACTTCTGGTATAACCTGATATGCTAGAAATCTGAAAATATTTTAGTCCAAGAGAACGCAATTAATTATAGTTAAATCTGAATTCTCAAATTTAGATTGATTTAACATAAAACATAAACGTCGAATGAACGGTCGCTGAGACAACTGTATACAGGATGAATTATTACTGTTATTAGTATCCCGGCAGACGATAGTTGCTAAACCGTTTGAGAAAGAAAAAAATTTTTTTTACAAAAGTTGTTTGACTCACCACTTTCTATAGACAAGCTAAGCCTTGACGTCATAGAGATGGGAGGAGCTTATACAGCAAACATTTTCGTTGCTAACGGTAAATCACCATATGCAATTTTTTAATTAGTGTTATAATAACATAAACTAAGTGATTTTTTAAATGACATTTCAAATGACATTTTTTGTCGATTTATCGTTAGCAATGAAATTGTTTGGAGTCGGTATAAGCTCCGCCCATCTCTGTGACGTCAGACTTAGGCAGTCTATTACGTAAAACTATTTTCAGTGATACAGGCTGTTCCATTTAGACGTAACGGAGAGTATGTAGATTTTTTTAAATGGAACATGTTCTTAAGATATTCAATTGTTTTTATAAAATGTGTCTGTTGCAGCATCTTTTTAAAAACGATGTAAAAACGACATTTTTTCCAATTTTGCCTTAAAAGTATCTCAGATAATAGTCAAAGCCAGTAGGTAAATGATAGTATCCAAAGATAATAGATACGCTATACAGCGTGTTCATAAAGCTTAGTTAGTTACTTATCATACTTATCATTAATTAAAGGGAACTTGATGAGCAATTCAACTAGCACACAATATACAGGGTGTTCCATTTAAAAAACTTAAGAAAAAGCCATTTGAAAAACATCAAAAGTAGCTAAGCTTTATAAACACCTGTATGGTGTATCTAATATCTTTGTATACTATCATCTACCTGCTGGGTTTGACTATTGTCTGACGTAGTTTCAAGGCAAAATCGGAAAACATGTCGTTTTTACATCGTTTTTAAAAAGATTTTGTAATGGGTATATTTTGGAAGAACAATTGAATATCTCAAGAACTATGAACGCTGTGAAATTGTAACATATACGGTTGTATAAATAAATTTAGTTGTATCCATTATATGATAAAATAAATAGGGTGCTCCATTTAAATAAACTGACGTACTCTTCGTTGCGCTTAAATGGAACACTGTGTATAAGTGAAAATAATTTGACGTAATAGAAAGTGATGAATCAAACAACTTTTGTATAAAATATTTTTTTGGTTTTCAAACGGTTTAGTAACTATCGACCGCCGGCGCCGAGATACTAATAACAATAACTCACCCTGTATACTCATAAATGTCATCTATGACAATAAAAGGGTGGCGTTGTTGTGTTGAATCAGAAGATTGGATTGCATTGGATCATCAATACAATAGAAAGAAAATAGAAAGCGTACATTCGAATGAATCAAATCTACAACAACCAATAATGGGTCCTTCCAATCTTTGCCTCTAGGATAAACATCACTAATCAAGAAAACAGCTATTGTTATACCGGGTGTAACAGGATCATGGTACACCCCCCGTATCTCCATTAGTTTTGAAGATAATTGATTCAAATTTGGGACATCCTATACACATGATAAGAGACAATTTTTAACATACAAGTAATTTTTCTTTCAATACCAGTTTCGCCGGAAGTGACACTAACTTTAGATTTTGAAATGGAACCCAACCCAACCCAACCCAACCCTGTATATTATTACATTTTTGAAATTTGAATAATTTTCTGAATCCAATGCTACCACATAAGTGACATTTCAAACGTCAATATTTTTTAGAATTTAGTGTTTAATTTGCCATTTAAGTGTGCCATGAGAGTTCCGTTTTATTCTAATTAACTCGTCTAATGCAAGAAAAATCTAAATTCCGCCAAAAATACCAAATTACGTGATTTATGTGCAAATAAAGTTCATCAAAATGACGGAATTTACATTTTTCTAGCATTAGACGGGTTAATTACAATAAAACGGAACTCTCATGGCACACTTAAATGGAAAATTAAACATTAAATTCTAAAAAATATTGACGTTTGAAATGTCACTTATGTGGTATAGTAGAAACCACGAGAGCTGGCAGTGACAGATCGCTTAAAAATGGTATGAATCAAGATATGGACGTACGACTTAGATTATTTCACCACATACATTTAAATGTAGGTTATGTTAGTAATGGAGGTTATATGTCAAACATTGTCAAAGATATTATTTAATGATTTTCCTTTCAAAGAAAACATTTTCGGCTTGTGAAAACACTAACAGATTCATGACAACGCTCANATACATTTAAATGTAGGTTATGTTAGTAATGGAGGTTATATGTCAAACATTGTCAAAGATATTATTTAATGATTTTCCTTTCAAAGAAAACATTTTCGGCTTGTGAAAACACTAACAGATTCATGACAACGTTCACAAGACGTTTCGATTTGAGGTTATAATTATAGAGTGACAACCCTTAGAAGAACAGACGAACTTTTTCGACGTGGCCATTTGAATTGTACAGCAGACATATTAAACTAATGCTATCTCTTTCCAACACACATTACTCTCTAGCGGTTTGTGAACTACGTATGGCATTTGTAAGAGCGGAAAATGATGATTTACTGCCAGCTCTCGTGGCGTCTACTATACCATTGAATTCAGAAAATTATTCAGATTTCAAAAATGTAATAATATACAGGGTGTTTCATTTAAGAATCTAAAGTTTATGTCACTTCCTGCGCAACCGGAATTGAAAAAAAAAAATTGTATGTCAAAAAGTGTCTCTTATCATGTGTATAGGTGTCCCAAATTTGAATCAATTATCTTCAAAACTAAAGGACATACGGGGAATGTACCATGATCCTGTTACACCCGGTATGCATTCATCTGAATCAAGTGCTAATGATTTATTTGCTATGACTAATATTTTTTTGTGACATTTTTTTCTATAATACCTGTCAAATGGTTGTAAAGTTGGCAAAATTAACAGGGAGTTTTGTTTAATCATGTTTTGAAATAAATATGTCACACCGACGTTTGAGCTTTCGTTATTCAAAAACGTTCGTTATTTACTATTTATTTACCTAGAAAAGGTATTTTGTTCTATTTAATTACTTTGTAGCACGTTTTTACAACAAATATGTACTTGTAGTCGAAGTTGATGTTGTAGTCCATTTTTAACCAGTTTTTTCTTTAATTTAAAGGTAACAAAGGTTTTTCCAACAAAAACCTTTGTTACCTCTAAATTAAATATGTACTTCGTTAAATTCGTATTCATCTAAAAATGTATTAGCATTTTAACCTCAACTATTTAGTTACTGAAAATGTTACTAAAAATCAGGAAAACAACATAAATTTTATAAGGGTCCTAAATAATACCAACAGAAACCCTAAAAAATTTACATCAAACTCTCCTTTCTTCTTTATAAATTCAATTTAAAAAACTAACTCAACCAACTTAGTACATGAACTCTGGAGTTATAGAAATTAAGTCCGTATTGTATGAATTCATAGATCAAAAAAAATCAATGTTTCATAACAACTTACTATTCGATCAATATCCTTTTCATTAAACTCATAATTTAACGCTTCCTTTATATCCAATTGTTTTTGCTTAATAGTTTCCAATTGAGGCATCGGATTCCCAGCTTCAGCTGTAGCTTCAACCCACTTTTGATATTCAGATTCAGTAAATTCCTGATTAGATACAAACTCCAAACGAAACACTCTCTCTTGAGTGCCATGTCGCACCCTGACACCCTAAATCGCCAAACATACAAACAAAAACATTACATTTAATTCACTTTATTTTCATCTTACTTTATTTGTTCTCGTATTTCCTAAATTATAAACTTTCGCCGTTTCATACACCCCAATAATTTCCACCGCCCTATAAACCGGTAAATTGTGGTGTTGTCCAATTCCAATTTTTGTAAAACAACCTTTAACGATTCGATCAAAAAATGGTAAATGCACAAATTTTTCCAATTTGTGACGAGACAGTCTTATAGAATTCAATTCGTTTCTAGTTGGAACGTATGCTGGTTTTTTTTGTTCTTCCTCTTCATTATCACTAGAACTAGAACTTGAAGACGAACGCGATCTTACTGATGCGGGTTTTGATGGTGCTGGAGAACTTCTACCACCTAAAAAATTAATTAATTTTGTTTATTATATATTTGACATAAAAATGACATAAATTTTCTCTGTATTAATTTATTCTTTTTACCTTCACTTTCACTATCATCTGAATAAATATCTGAAGCTTTCAATTTAACCGAATTCTTATTTGTAGTTAAATCAGCTTCTTCCTCATCTTTTTTCTTTTGTTCTTCTCTCCTGGCAATTTCCAATTCCTCCTTTCGTTTTTGCCCTTCTCTTTTAGCCTTCAATTCAGCCATAGCATTAACCCTCTTATCAACTTTCCCCCTATTTTCTTCGATATTCTTCTTCCTCTCTTTACTTCTTTCTTTATGATCAATTGAGCTATAATCTGATTGAAGTAATTTATCTTTGTCTTTCTCTTTCGATTTATCTTTATCTTTTGGTTTCTTCTCTGGCTTTTCTTTCGCCCGTTCCGCCTTTTTCGCTTGTCTTAATTTCTTTTCAATTTCAAATCGCGTTTTCATTAATTCTCTTTGTTCAATTCGTTTAAAAATTTCAGTTTCGCGTTCTTTTTCGGTTAAACTTGCTAAACGAGCTCGATCTTCTTCATCACCCATTAATTGATCATCATAACCATCATTAAATTCTTCTTCAGAATAATCTGAAGAATCAGATACTTCACCTTCTTCAGTTTCGGAGTTTTCTTTAGCAGCAGGAGATGATGATTTATTATTTGTTTCAGCTTCTTCCTCTTCACCGGAAGAACTTTTTGATTCTCTTTTGGAACGTTTCGATGTTTTGGGGTTTTCATCTTCACTTTCTGAGTCGGAATTCGATATGGAACCATTACTTTTTGGAGATTTCTTTTTGGTTTTCTTCTTTGCTAAGTTTAAGAATTGCTGGAATGAAAATAAAGCTCTTTAATCTTCATTTTCTTTAAGAATGGACATATTATTTTGTATTGATTGACCTAGAACTTGTATAATGTAAAAAATAAAAAAGATTATAAAGATTTTTTGTTGGTTTATTTTCGTAAATGAATTGACCAAAAAAGCAAAAACAAACTTTGTGTACGAACGAACACGGGGACGTATGGAATGCATTTACAATAAAAATAGATTTTGGAAGCCGCCAAAGTAAAGGCGTCGCATTTTCGCCGATCTTTAAAAATGTTAACCTATAAAATAAAAGAGACGTTAGGACAAAACTTACGCCGTCCAAATCGCTGCTTGAATCGTTACTGGAGTCCGAATCGATGAGAGCCTGATTTTTGCGTTTGCCCATTTTATCAGAAAACTAAATAACTTACACCCTAACGTTTAAACTAATACTTAAAGTAATTATTAATAAATTATTCACGTTTTGTCACTGCTCTGCGTTAACGTTCAAGCAGCCATGTTTTAACTGAAGTTAGCTACCAAGGTTACCAACCTCACAAAGTAAACTTAGGAACGCTATTTTTACACATATTTTATTCATTCATTTAGATTAAACATAAAAGATTATTTTAAATTTAATTATTAATAGCATTTAATCCATTAATTAACAAATTAATACATTTGGATGGATTTTCGCAATTTAAAAATTTTTCAAGGTCATGTCACCAAAATTTCTTTAAGGTTATTTAAACGTCACTTAATATGAAAAAATATGTATTTCTTACAAAGTTGGAGCATAAAGTACTTAAATCTTATAAAATACTGATTAATAATAACACAAATATTAATAACAAAACAACAATAACAATTACAAAAAAAAAATTAACTTTGTTTCTTCTTTGAACCCTTCAAATTTTTCTCTTTTGATTGAGGATTACCAAAAGCATATCTTCGGTTTAAACGTTCTCTAATCAATAAACCTTTTATTAATTTTTTCCAATTATCGTAAATACGCTTTTCATTCTTCTCCTTTTCTTTCTTTTCAAATTCTTCTTGCTCCTAATAAAATAAATTTAAAAAAAAACTTAAAAATGAATTAATTAATTTCTTACATAAATCCAAGCTGCGACTACTTGTTCGGAAAATTCTTCGCATACAACAAAACCATCAAACACTGGGTGGCTAAAACCTGAGTGAAAATCGAAACCTGTTACGGCTGGAGCACAATCGATGTTTAATTTTCGTGCAACTTTATTTAAACCAGGGACTAAAAGTAATTAAATTAAAAAAAAAAAAATGAATCGTTTTGTTATTTTTAGTACATTGTAAATGAACAGTTCCTTTTGGTAACATTCGAGGCTTAAACAAATCAACGTTTCCATAAGCATTCTTTGGAACTATTCCATTTTCAGCAGTTGGGGGCACATATTCTTCAACTTGCCAAATACCAAATATTTCAAGCATTTGATCCGTTATGATGGTATTTGATAACTATGAAAATTAAACAATATGTAATTTATAACGGTATTTTAAGATTATTGAGTTATACTCTATCATATTTTGGTCTTGCTTTAACAATTTTATAAGGTTTTTCGCCAGGTTTTACCACTTTAGCATCTTTTAACCAAATCTCTCTTGAATGTAAAGTATAAACGCAATCTCTTGAATAAACCGGTTCGTTTCTTACAAATCCAACTGTTAAGGCATTTGGAGGATAAATCGCTTGGAATTTTAAAAGATGACGTTCAAGAACGTAAAGTGGATGATCTTTATATCTAAAAAACAACAAAAAATATACTCATTTCAGAGCCAATTTTCATTTGTTTTGATGATAAAAATTCGAGATAGATTGTTATTAAATATTTCTACATAATATTATTATTATTATTGCCGGGCTAAGGGGAGCGGCCCTCTCGTTACCGCAACCTATAAGACTATATTGTCCTGAGGTCTTGAACCTTTATGTCAGTAGGTGTCAAGCGAATTTTACCGAAAATTTTGTGTCTTAGACGGCCTCTGGCAACGCAATTGCACAGTATATATTCAGCTGTTTCTGACTCATCGTTGCAAAGTCGACAAGTTTGATCCTCAGCTTGTCCAATGTGGAAGAGGTGGTATTTTAGGGGACCCTTTGCTGGGATATAAAACCTCTTTGGTTTTGTTTTGCGACGGAGTTGTCATACTCTTCGCTTGTCTATGACCTGGAAGTTCTTTCCAGCGTAAGGCTACCATTGAGACCTCCCAATTGTTGATTATTTGTTTTAGGTGGCTTTTTTGTAGTCCACAGCCAAGTTGGGGTCCAATGAAGGGCGTGTTCGCTGTTTCTTTGGCCAGCTTGTCTGCCTTCTCATTGCCCTCAATGTTGCTGTGACCTGGAACCCACCCTAGGGTAACATCATTGCCCCTAGCAAGTTCTCTCAGTTTGCTGGTACACTCTCTGATCAGTGCGGAGTCACAGGTGTAGGCCTGAATTGCCTTTAAGGCGGCCCGACTGTCTGTGAAAATGTTTATGGATGCACCTTTTTGTCCCTTCTATAGGTTCAAAGCGGTGCAGTAGCTTATAGCAAGAATTTCTGCTTGGAAAATTGTTATGTCCATGCTGAGGGGCAATTTAATGTGGCTGTTTGGTCCACTGATGCCTATACCTACTCCGGATCTTCTTAGTTGAGGCCCTCCCTTCGCCCAATCATCCCTGCTTCTAAATATGACCTTATACGGCTGATGAAATTGTATTCTGTCGGTATAAGGTCCGTTTTAAATTCAATCAGGTGATTTAGACATGGGTCCTTAAGGATTTCGAGGTGTCCTCTGAGGTTGCCCTGTATCAACTTGAGCGAAGAAACAATTTTGAGTGATAAGGCACTTGAAGCTGCCTCCTTTTGTATATATAAATGTGAGACCGAGTATGGCTTCCAAAGCAGCCGTCGAACAGGATCTCATTGCACCCGTTATGTTAAGAAATGCTAACCGCTAGATTTGTGCTGTTGTTGTGCTGTCTTATGTTTTGCTTTTGGCCATCAAACCAATGAGGCGTAGGCGACCATGGGTCTGATTATTGATACGTAGGGCCAATGGGCAATTCGTGCTTTGAGACTCCAGTTCCTTCCTAAGAGCCTGCGGCAGATCTGGTTTGCCATGATGGCCTTTTCCCTCACCTTATCTATGTGTGAGTTCCAGATTAGTTTACTGTAGTTTACTGTATTTAACTTCTGTTTTGAGGTTAATAGTTCTGCTTTCAATGAGGGTGCTCTCAATTGTAGCTTCCTTCTCCGAGTGAAAGGCTTGCCATTGCTTCTACACCAAGTATTGGTGAGTAGTAGGGCTTTCTGCATTAGTTTAGTTATGATTGTATCATATTTACCTCGGATTGTGATTACCAGGTCATCAGCATACCCCTGAATCTTGAATCCGTTTTTTGTTAGGGTGTTCATCAAGTCATCAACTACTAGACACCATAATAGAGGTGGTAGCACTCCCCCTTGGAGACATTCTCTGAGCGCCTTTATAGTCAGCGACTCGCCTCCCAGACTGGCTGTGATCTGCCGACTTTTCAACATAGCTATACACCATTTGATTGTCGACGGATGTATATCTTTTACGTTTAGAGACTTCTCTATGGATTCATAGGAGGTGTTATCAAACGAACCCTCTATGTCTATGAAAGCACATAGGGCTATCTCTTTGGTTGCAATTGCCTCCTCTAAAGTGCTAGTCAAACCATGGAGAGCAGTAATTGTTGATTTTGCTTTCTGGTAAGCATGTTGGCTAGGGTGGAGTGGATTAGTGACAATCACTCCATTCCTAAGGTATTGATCGATTACCTTTTCCATCCCTTTGAGGAGAAATGAAGTTAGGCTAATTGGTCTGTATGCCTAATAATAGTAGTGAATATGAAATATTTCAGCTCTGCAGTTTTAAAATTATCAAGCTGCTCACGAGAAGCAACGTTTTACTCATAATGTCATCAGGATTATATCTTATAATCATAATAGGTACTCATAATCTCATAAGGATTATATTCTATTAAGAATATAGAGCGAATAAAGTTATAACAGTCTTTAAAAGAGTAAAATTTTATCTTTATGAAGAAGTTATAAAGTTTGCAATATTGTAGAACACATGATGTTTTCACGCAAAAATGTGTTTTTTTGAAATTACTTGATTGCTCGCAAAGTTATCAGAAAACTATAAACTTAAAACTTTATTTAATCGACATTTTACACAATCTATATTTCAGTATTAAAAAATAATACCTCGTCGCACTTGAGAGATATGATTTAATTTTGATATTTCTAATGGAACATGTTTGTATTATTAGATAGTGTAATTGTCTCTATCTTACTGATTTAATATACGCATCAAATATCTTATCATCTTTAATAGTTTTCGACATATATTTCGATTTTTATATAAAGTGGGCTTAAATATCTTCTGATATACAAGATGGCAGTTGGTCACAGTATTTTGATCAGTTGCTTAACGCGAATGTAGACACTGACATGGCCGAAGAGAATCAAAATGAAATAAGTGACGAAGAACAGAAAGCACCATCCCTAACAGAGATAGAAAAAGCACTTCAAAAGCTAGGAAATAATAAGTCACTTGGCAACGACGAAATCTCTGCGACAGATGCGGCGACATCGTTGTCAGAACTCTGCCACAGATGGTAGGAACTTATACAGCATTGATACGCTCAGCCAACAGCTATGGTCTATAAATAAATGAATAAAAAACAAAGGTACCAGTAACTACCTCGATGCGTATCATTCATGACCTAGGAGAAAATCTTGCAATCTTGGTTCCAGCATGAACTCGAAGAATAACTGTAGAGCAAAAATGAGAAGATGGGTCAAAGTGGACAACAAGTGTTATAAACTAAACTTTTTGCCGTGAAATGAACTATTTCACCATGTGTAGATGTAGCTAGTCAAAGCTGAAATGTTACCGATTTTCTGTGTCGATAGCAAGGATCGCCGTTTGTCTTAAATCTTTTACGAGATATTTTTGGAAGACTTCTCTCTTAAAAAAAATTATCTATATGTCTATGTTATTAGACAAATTACTGGTCATGCATTCTAAATATCTTTTTTCTTGCTTGTAACCTTAACATCCATCATTTCATAAATCAAACTTTCTGCAATCATCCTTAGGAATGTTAAAAAACGATGTATTTAAACAAATAATTGTTTGATTAACAATGTTCAGGTGAGGTTCTGGTAATAATAATCAAGGCAGAAACCAGAAAGAAAATACCAGGATAACAGCTGGAATGCAAAGGTTTACAACATTAGAAGCATGCTGTGTGATACAGTTTCTCATAGCAAAAAAGGGTGTTACTAAGACAGACTAGTGCGTACCCAACATCGCCAATGGACGTTCTGTCAGAAATACAACCACCTACAGATTATTGGAAGTAATACAAAAATTTGCAAAAGAAATCCAAGAAATCTCTGCAAAGAAAGATCTGTAGAAAGAAAGTACTGATTATTAATAAATAAATTTTATCGCCTAAAATCAAGTATATAAAATAAATATTAAAACTTACTCAGATATTGTTTTAGGTAAAGGTTGATCTAACTGTAGTCTAGCTAAATCATCATCTTCCTCCTTTTCTCTAGCATTACTAGGCGCTTTATAAGGTAACAAAGTTTGATCCCACCAGGACTGATCAATCCTTAATTTTCTAGTAACTGTATTCCAATTTTCGCAGTATCGTTTTGTGATGTCTTTAACGTGATTATCATTATCAAATCCAAGAATGTAAGAAACAGGATGGCTTGCTCTCGACTTTAAATAGAATATTTAAAAATTAGATTTAAAGTGTTTTAAGTAAAACAATACACTTACGTAGATTTCTTTAACGCAATGAACCTGTCCTTTAATAACATCAACACTAATCCATTTCTCTTCAGCTTCAGCAAAAACTTCGACCCAAACATTAATTTCTTTACTTTTTTTGAGCTTTTCTTTATCTTCCGCCTTCTTTTTTTCAATTTCAACTAAATCTTTTTTCATGGGCACTCTTCGTTTAACTTTTGTAGTGGTATTTAATGAAGAAATTTTTCCAGGTAAAAAGTCGGAATCTTCTTCACTCGAAGTTTTCTTTCTTTTTACCAATTTATGAAGATTCGTTTCTTTTTCTTGAGCCAAAGTTCCTTTCACCAAAGCAACAATATCGTTTCTAACATCTAATTGTTTACTTTTTTTCGATGGACTACCGCCAAAATATCTACTTTTATCGCTATCTGGCGAAGAAGTGGAAAATACTGAACGGGTTCGTTTTAACGGACTAGTTTTGGTTATTGAAGAACTCGGTTTAAATTCGTCTTCAGAATCAACTTGTTTCGAAACTTTACTTGGAATTTTAAGCCTGCTTAAATGCACTCTTGGACATTTATCTCCTGATGCCATTTTTAATTTTGCCAAGTTTGGTTTCTTTTTGTTTTTTGGAGGTGTGTCAGCTCCACCGTCTAATTGAGGAATTTGAGCGCCACTAAAGCTGGGTTCATCTTTATTATTATTTGAAATATTAGGAGAATTTGATGATTTTATAAGGAATTGAGGAGAAAATCCGCGAAATCCTTCAATTTCATCTGATGATTTTGTATTTATTATTTGAGAGGAATTAAATCCAAGAAATTCTTTGTCTTCACTTGGAGAATCAAAATTTTTTTTTACTAATTCAGTATTTTGTGTGGTATTAAATCCGTGAAATTCTTCATCTTCTTTGGGGGTGTCAGGAGAATTTGATACTTCCTCTTTAATATTAACAGGAGGTACAAATTTAATTTTATTAGTATCATCCTCACTTTCTTCGTTATTTTCTTCAACTTGAACATTATCTAAATTGCGTAATCTCGTGGGAATTGGTAATTTAATTTTTAAAAGTTCTTTTTTCGATGTTATTTCAGTTGAATCATTTTGAAGTAAATCTTTAGAATCATCTTGCAACGTTTCTGGTTTTGCAGGACTCTTTGATTTTCTTTTCTTTAAAGTTTTATTTTTAATAATTTCATCTGGATTTCTTAATGTTTCAGATTCTGCTTGTCTCTTATTTAAATTCTCTTCATTCTTATCATCTACAGCAGGACTTTTAGATGTATTTCTGGTTGATCTCCTTAATTTAAGATCAGTACTCAATAAGTTATCATTTCCTGTCTTTATGGGACTTTTAGATCTTCTTGCCGATTTCTTTTTCTCAGAAGGATTAATACTTGACAATTCCTGATTTGTTTTGGAATCATCTTCATTTTTGGGTTTAAGAACGGGACTTTTAGACATTTTTCTGGTTGACCTTCTTACCTTAAGATCAGAACCACCCAATAAATTCTCATTTTCAAGATTTGCCGGACTTTTAGATTTCCTTGTAATTTTCTTTTTCTTAGAGTCATCATCACCTAACAATTCCTCATTTATTTTAGAAATATCTTCATTCTCAGGTTGCAAAACTGGACTTTTAGACATTTTTCTGGTTGATTTTCTTATCTTAAGATCAGAACCACCCAATAAATTCTCATTTTCTAGATTTGTAGCACTTTTAGATCTTCTTGTTGTTTTGTTTTTCTTAGAATCATCATCAACTAACAATTCCTGATTTATTTTAGAATTGTCTTCATTCTCTGTTTGTAAAACTGGACTTTTGGATATTTTTCTGGTTGATTTCCTTATCTTAAGATCAGAACTATTTGTTTTATTTTCATTTTCCAACTTGACGGGACTTTTAGATCTTCTTGATTTCCTTTTTTTAGCATCAGCTGACAATTCCTGATTTATTTTAGAATTGTCTTCATTCTCAGGTTGCAAAGCTGGACTTTTAGAACTTTTTCTGGTTGACTTTCTTATCTTAAGATCAGAACCACCCGCTAAATTCTCATTTTCAAGATTTTTCGGACTTTTAGATCTTTTTGCCATTTTCTTTTTCTTTGACTCATCATCAGCTAATAATTCCCGATTTATTTTAGAATTGTCTTCATTCTCAGGTTGCAAAGCTGGACTTGTAGAATTTTTTCTGGTTGACATTCTTATCTTAAGATCAGAACCACCCGCTAAAGTCTCATTTTCGGGATTTTTCAGACTTCTAGATGTTCTTGCCATTTTCTTTTTTTTAGAGTCATCATCAGCTGACAATTCCTGCTGTATTTCAGAATTGCCTTCATTCTCTGCTTGCAAAACTGGACTTTTAGATATTTTTCTGGTCGATTTCCTTATCTTAAGATCAGAACTAATTGTCTTATTTTCATTTTCTAACCTAACAGGACTTTTAGATCTTCTTGATTTCATTTTCTTAGCATCAGCTAACAATTCTTCGTTCCTTTTCGAGTTGTCTTCATTTTCAGGATTAAAAATTGGACTTTTTGAACTTTTTCTGGATGATCTCCTTACTTTGAGATCAGAACTACTCGTTTTTGAGTCATTTCTTTTAGAATTATTTTCATTTAAGCTTTCATTTTTTAATTGTTGAGATTTTTTTGTTGATTTTGCCTTCTTAAAATCATCACCAGAATTTTTTCTAGATGTTTTTTCTACTTTAACATCATCTTTTTTGACTTCTTTTTCATTTTTTGATTTACTCTCTTTTTCAATCTTTGTTTCTTGTATTGTTGGACTTTTTGAACTCTTCCTCAATGATCTTCTCACTTGACCGTCTTTGTTATCAACAGTTTGATCTTTGCTTGCGCAACGTTTCAAAGGTTTCTTTTCAAAATGTTTTAAGCTAGTGTTAAAAGATTTATCTTTATACGTTCTATTAAGATTAAAAGTAACTCTTTTTGTATTTTTCTTGGTACTCCCAATTTTTTTTGAACTTTCACCTAAATTTTCTGGTTCTTTTTTATTTTTATTGCTTAGGGAGCACAATTCACTTTGAGGTGGTCTTAAAGGCTCTGTTTGTAAAGATAAAATTAATCTACATTTAACACCGAGCGATCTTAAAATGCAAATAAAAATATAAATGTACATTTTGTAATTTAATGCTTCTTTTTTAAGCATTTGTTCTTGTAATACTTTTTCGAGGGGTTCATTTAGTTCCATTTGTGTATTTTTATTGATAATCGTTTTTTTATACCAACCAGTAATATTTTCTAAATAACTTAAATCTACTCTATTTGTTGGATAACAATGTTTTGATGGTAACAAAGATAAAGCTACACCTAATAAATTTTGATTACTCAAAATGGAATTTACATGAAAACCATGACCGATCCAACAAAGTAAATGAACTTTATGCACCAAAACTTGGTTTTCTTTTTTCTTTCTATTAATCCTTCTTTTTATTGCTGCCATTAAATCTAAGGATTTCTTCTTTTTAACATTTCCAGGTAAATCTATCGTGATTTGAACACCTTCTTTCCTAACCAGGGATTCATCTTCTTTATCTTCAACTTCTTCCCAGTCAGATTTATTTTCCCCATCAGATAATGTTTCAAATTCAGATGACCCTAATGAACTATAAAGAGCTTTCTCTTCATTATATAAGATATCATCCACATCCATATCTTCATTTTGAACCTCCTTAGCTTTTTTTGCTTTGTAAACTTCAATCAACTTTTTTGCTTCTTCAAATTTCTGATTAAAAGTGCTGATATGTTCAAAATTATAAGTTGTGGAAGTTGTGGGAAGTTCATTTATCTCAGCTTTAGGTTCATTTTGAGTCGATTTATCATTAGAATCTGATTCAGAATCACTTAATCGATCAAGGTCAGTATTCTCATGCACAAGTTTCTCATCTTTTTCTGTCGTTTTTACTGTATTAAAAAAAGATGAGTTCAAATCTAGTTTTGAAGGTGATGTTAAATAAGTTTCTATATCGCTATCGCTGGAACTGTCTTCAGATAATTGAAGATTAACTACAGGCGATTTCTTTTTCTTTGGCTTATCTTCATCGCTGCTCCCATCCGAAGCATGTTGCCTTTTTTGTGAGTCCTTTGCTCGTCTCATGATATGTTTATCTATTAACCAGGAATTTACTAAAAACCATAACAATTAAACAAACAGGTTAATAAACCAATCATTAACAATCAATGATATTGTCAAGCATTTTTGGTGACATTTTGTGACTTCTTTGTGATTATTTTAACCCTACAAAGTGGATTTTACATTACCTTTTATGTATAAAGGGAATAATTTAACTTTTCTTAACCTATATCGTCTCTAACACACCGGTTATCCGCTATTTTTTTAATTAAACAAAGATTAAGTTTGTGCGCATGATTTAAAATGGAGTTTTTTCCCGCCATAATTTAAATGTTGCATAACTTTGTGATTAAAAGTATAGAATAAATCAAAAAAGCTTTATTTCCTCCATTCAATCTGATTGATTTTAATATCCCAAAATTAACTTTTTTTGCAATTTACATTTCAAATCCGCTTCGCGCTTAAAAATGATAATTTATCAAGATAACACTTAGATGGCGCTACAAATTTTTAATGCAAAATTATTTTTTCATGTTTCGTTTTTAATTATAGTAAATTTTAGCAATAACTTAACCCATTAATAAAATAAAAATATATTAAAATCTTACATTAATTATTAAATTTAAAAGTTATAAAACACTAATTGACAGGTGTATAACCTAACCTCAATTTTTGTGACGCCGCTAATAAATAACAAAACATTTAAAATCAATTTCAATAGATTGCATAAGATTTCATTAAAATACATCGATTTGCAAGTACTGTTTTAGTGAAGAATTATGGCAGAAGAAGTGTCTCTGGAAGACGCTCCAAATGATCAGAATAAAAAAACCGAAGACAATAAAAGCAATTTACCTCACGATGATGACACTGAAAGTGGAGAAGAACAACCTTTAGATATAGGAGAACATTATTTAGTAAAGCGATCAGATGAATCTTGGCGTAAGTTAAATAATTATTTATAAAACACAACCTTAAAAAACTCATTTTAATAGATCCTGCGGAAGTTATCCAAACTCGGTTTAACGATAACGAAGCGCAATATGAATATTACGTTCATTATGAAGGTTATAATAGGCGTTTGGACGAATGGGTACCACGAGCGAGGATTATGTCTTCAAGATTTCAGCTGACGGAAGGACAAAAAGTTCCGGTTGATAAAACATGGAAAAATAGGTCTTTAGTTACTGATTTGTTATCGGACACAACAGACAGGAAAATTACAAGGAATCAAAAAAGAAGACACGATGAAATTAACCATATTCAAAAGACGTATTAAATCAATTTGTTGTAAATTTGGTTTAAATTATTTAATTTTAGATACGATGACATGGATCCAACAACAGCTGCTTTAGAAAAAGAACATGAACAAATCACTAAAGTGAAATACATTGATAAGATTCAAATTGGACGTTTTGAGATTGATACTTGGTATTTTAGTCCGTATCCTGAAGAATATGGGAGACAGAGTAAATTATGGATTTGTGAATATTGCTTAAAATATATGAGATTAGAAAAAAGTTATCGGTATCACATGGTAAATATTTTTTAAGATTAATAATTATGATTGTGTATTTGAAAAGAATATTTTATGTAGAGTGAATGTACCTGGAGGCAACCAGTTGGAAAAGAAATTTATCGAAAAGGTACTTTATCAGTTTATGAGGTTGATGGGAGAGATCATAAAGTGAGTTAATATTTATTTTGGTAGAGGAGTGTACCCTTAATTAAGAAATGGGGTTGTAGTAACTGCTGAAAATCATTGTGTTGTTATTCAAATGTGTTTTAAAGATCTTATAAATTAGTTGTTGAAACAAATATATGTTACACATAAATAATATATAACCTCAATAATCAACTCTATCAATTTGCCAATATTTTTACAATGAAATAGAGGATGAAAAATTTAGAAAAAAGTACAGTGTTAATAAATGAAACGTTTTAATATATCATTTTCTAACAATATATTGGAAATTTTGGAGTAAGAAATAAAAATCTTTATTTCTCACTTATCCAAAAATCATTACCAATTGAAAAAACTCTTTCAATTGGTGAAATTGTTTTGTAGAAAATAGATAAATCATAATTGAAAAACGATTCCAGCATTTTTGGACATTTGACTAAACTTAAAAATTTTAGCAGAGCGACTCAAATACTTGTAAAACACGCTCTATAGTAAGTGTTGGACCGAACCATCTAACTTTTGAATATCCTAACAGTTATTTTTTTGTATTTAGATTTGCAATATCTATATTTTCCCATCAGTATATGGTATGTTAGTTAGGTTTGTATTTATTGCATTTTGAAATTTCATTTCTTTCGTTCTCTCCTAGTGTTTATCGCTTCGAATTGAAAATCTGTTGAGCGCGGAACACGTTTTTTATCCGTGATTTAGAAGTCACTTTCGTTTTTGGTATGACTATCTGGACTATGGTCCATGTCCATTTACGATGGCGTTTTTTATTAAAGAAAGAGATCATTGCAAATAAGTTGTTCTGTTTTGATATTCATAGTCAGTGTTTTCTTTTCAGTGTTGGAATATCTTTTCTTTTTCCATTACCCCTGTAATAAGCTATCCACTACACATACACTTCTTTTAAATCTTTTTCCTTCCACCAACATTTTCACTGTCCTTGAATACACTGGCAGCTCTTATTCTTTTTAGTTTCTTTGGAATATCTGCTGTAGATATCTTCCTTGCACCGTCCCCTTCAGTGATCATTTGTTGTCATCTGTGGCACACTTCTCTTTTCTTTCTTATTTATATTTTCATGCTAGTCTCTGAAGATGGCTATTTGCCGAAACTAGCAAGACTCATGTTTTATATTTATTTAAAGACCAGTTTTGAAAGTACAAAAAGCTTTATATATTATTTCTCCTAATTATTAACAAATACTAGTAAAATGGATTTCGAATATAATTCTCTACAAAATTAATGACTTTACTATTGGAAGCTGATACATCTAATGATTGCTTATGCTAATAATTTACATAAATAGATAGCAAGTAAAGGGTTTGTTAATCCTTCACCTTCATGATTAGGCATGGAATGAATTATTATTTGTAATGGAACAAATACATAGAATCACTTTCAGGCACATCAAGGGCTTTATGAAAAATATATCGTTCTACAGCGTTTCTTGGTACAAGTCTAGGATTTTGTAGATATTTAAAAAGGCCTGGAACTTTAATTGACACTTGTTTATTAGTAATTTCTTACCACTTTCTTAATGTATCATCATAATACACATCTTGTTTTACTCTATCATTGGTGTCGTTCAAGTCAATGTTCTCAGTCCGTTCCTATCCATTTTTACCGCTCGCTGATATAAAAAATTTTAAATATGTCAGCTATTTTCGTCTAATGGAATATCTGTTCTTTTCTCATTACTCCTGTAATAAGCTGTCCACTACACATACACGTCTTTTAAATCTTTTTCTTTTCATCAACATTTTCACTGTCCTTGAATCCACTGGCAACTCTTATTCTTTTCAGTTTCTTTGCAATATCTGCTGTAGATATCTTCCTTGCACTTAGTGATCATTTTTGTCATCATCTGTGGCACACTTCTTTTTTCTTATTTGCATTTTCATGCATTATGTTGAAGACTACTGTGGTTATTACGTTTAGATCCTAACTGAACTTTTCTTTATTCAGTATTCCATCAGCTAGCTTGTTATTCATTGGTAACAAAAACTGTTAACATATTTCTCTATCACTTTAAATATTCATTTTCCAGGTATCAATTTCCATTCTTTGAAGCTTATTAAATTTTCAAAGAGTTTGCTTCCATATCTTTGTCATCAAGATTTCTTTTGGAGTACCATTCTCCGTTCCTTTTTTTACGTTAATTAGAATGGTTTATTACAAAATTGTATCTTATATTACCGTTTTTAGTTTGTACAGATCTTTTATTTCCGTTTCTTCGCAGCTGTTTTCCGTTCATTTCCTATTTCTTTCTTATCATAGTCGATTCGTTTCTATTATATTTTGTTTTCATTAGTAATAACTTATATTTATTTCTATTCACTCTCATGTCTTCCTTCTGTATTCTTTGAAGTTTGAATATCATTAAGTTTGTTCTCTTTGATTACCACCTTCATTGATATAGTAGTATTCTGCTGAATAAAACCTCCATTTTCCTTGTATGCTCTATAACAACTCGACCAAATCGTAACTAAACTCTCCTCGTATATATTCTAATTGATGGACGTTCTTAGGACGAGGTATAAAAATTAACTTGTTATAACTTGTCATCAAACAGTACTTCCCTTTCATTATATTCTCATTTTATAGCTTGCCTCTGTTTTAACTTTATAACACATTTGAAGAATAACGTAATATCTAGCAGAAAATTGAACACATTGAACGCCACGTAGGAATCCCTTGGGAATACCCCATTTCCCCCCTTTGTTTATGTTTTTTTAAAATTAAAATTTTTTACAGATCTATTGTCAAAATTTATGTTTATTAGCAAAGTTATTTCTTGACCATAAAACCCTTTATTTTGATGTAGAACCGTTTTTATTTTACATATTATGTGAAGTAGATAAACAAGGGGCTCACATTGTAGGATATTTCTCAAAGGTAAATCTTTTTATTCCTATTAATTAATAAATATAAATTATTTATTTAACAAAAAAAATTAAAGGAAAAAGAATCTCCGGATGGAAATAATGTTGCTTGTATTCTAACATTACCTCCATACCAACGTCAAGGTTATGGAAAACTTTTAATTGCCTTTAGTTATGAATTATCACGTTTGGAAGGAGCTGTAGGAAGCCCCGAGCAACCTTTAAGCGACCTGGGGAAATTAAGTTATCGAAGTTATTGGAGCTGGGTTTTATTAGAAATATTAAGAGATTTCAGGGGTACACTTTCAATTAAAGATCTTAGGTAAACAAAACATTTATATAACAAATTTTGTATTATTTTATTTTTTAATTTAGCCAAATGACTAGTATTACTCAAACGGATATAATATCAACTTTACAAAGTATGAATATGGTAAAATATTGGAAAGGGCAACATGTAATTTGCGTTACACCGAAATTAGTTGATGAACACATTAAATCGAGTCAATACAAAAGGCCAAGGCTTTGTGTTGATAGTAGCGCGTTAAGATGGGCACCAAGAAGACATGTTACTAATAAAATAAAAAAGTGATTTTGATTTTTTTTTTAATTTTGAAGTGTAAATCCTCGCTTTCTTTTTGTTTTTTTTAATAAATATGAGTTTTGTAATAAATAGTAAAGAATGTTAATTAAGAAATATAAAAAATTTTGTCATTAAAAAAAATGTTTAACTGTTTGCATTTTTATATAGAAAAGTGCAGCAATCTGTCTGTTCATTCCAACCTTATCTTGATGTCTCAATGGAACCTCACCCTAAATCTAAGAATGTTTATTTATTCTCATAGTAATTTAGGTCACAATCTGCTCTATTATGAAACTTCATCTTCAACTCATAAATGTCACAATTGAATGTTATTAATTAAAAAGTATCTGAACCCAATTTAATATTATAAACGTTTCTTATTTTCAAAGGAATTATTCAAATTTGTTACATCTTCATAAACAATTCAAGAATTTTTATTACTTTTAATCTTGACTAAATTGTTTTGTCGACCACATTTTGATTGTAAAAGTAGGCCTTAATAAATAAAAAGCAATTGCAATAATTAAAAAAAGATTTATATATACTTAAAATGGGGGGTTTAATTACAGTATATAACACATCATTAAATTATAATTTGCATACTTAATACTCAGTAAAAATTAAAATGCAGTTTCAATAAAATTATTATCCGGCTCTAGTACCCAATTTTTTCAACACATTAATTCCTTGATCTTCATACTCTTGTTTTGAAATCCAAAAATTATCTTTATCCTTCATCACTTCCGCGAGAACAGCTCCGCCAATAAACACCATGTCTTTACGTCGCGGCGGGTCCTCAATCCTTATTTTAAATTTGTTCAGTTTATCAATATCATTTTTTAGCACACGTTCTAAATAAAGTTGTTTTATTTCGCGTTCTAACCGCGATGGAAGTCCAGGATACATAGTTGATCCTCCCGATAAAACAATATGTTTATATAATTCTGAACGCATATCAATATGGGCAGCCTTAAACAAATTAATATTTTAACTTATGTTGGTAAAAATGATGTATTTTTACCTGTATTGTAGAAAATACCAATTCAGCTATTCCTTGTCCTTCAACATTAATTAAATGAGGTTGAAATAATGCTTCTGGTGCTTCAAATCGTTCACCACCAACTTTTATAACTCGACCATCTGGTAATGTGTATGGTTCAACTAGAACTGTTGTTTCTAACGCTAAACGTTGTTCTGTTTCAATGTCATAACCAATGTAACAAAGTTTTTCTTTCATGATTCTGACCTAAAACATTTAATTAATTAAATTTGTTATGAAATTAGCATTAAATTTAATTTACCGTTTCAAAATCAGCGGAATGATTAAAAGCATATCCCCTTAATAATAAAAGCTTAATTAGATAGCGTGTAATATCTCGTCCGGCTATATCTAATCGTCGTGTTAAATGCGGCAAAGAGAATTCTTCATAAACTGGACAAATGTGTGTTACCCCATCTCCAGAATCCACAACAACACCAGATAATAATCCCTGGAAAAATAAAAAAAATTGACAGAATACGATGATATTAATGCCTATATAATAGTGTAGAGAAAGATCATAGCAGAACATTGCCTCTATGTACTGTGCTGAAGATTGTAAACCAAGGAACGAAAGAAAATCCTTTTTTAAGACACTATAGGCTACAGTAGACTCTCTACCCCAAGAAAAGCTATTAATACTGTTAGGTGACTTCAACCTATTGAGAACATTTTAATAACAATGGCAAATATAATGAACTCCGAATGAATAATACCTATTTTGGACACCAGGATCAGTATATACACACTTTTTAAAAGTCTAGGGACCACAAATCTATGACAGATTTCGTCACCAACATAGAAAGATACACCCAACACAAATAACCGATGCTAGAACATTAAATTCGGTAAATGTAGGCAGTGAGCACTACAATACCTGGAAAAAAAGAAGTAACAACTACAGAAAAACTAAATATACAATCAACATGGAATGAGTCAACTAAAGGACTGAATAGTAATAAATTAAGGGAGAAAATCGAATTACCCAGTTAATAGCGGAAAAGACAGAAACATAAGCTGGCAGAAAATAGAAACAAAACAAGCACTCGGGATATGAACTATCACAGTAAACAGCAACAGAGATAACAACACAATACCGTGGTTTTATCAAGAAATAAAAGATAAATGAAAATAAGGATAAATGAAAAGCCTATTTAAACTACAGAACAGTCAAAACACCAGAAGCCTACAAAAGTTACGGACTAATTCGCAACTAACTTGTTAAGATCTATTAAAATGACTACTAGGAAAAATTCTCTATGAAGTTAGAAGGCGACTTCTATAAAACACAAGATCAGGTGTAGAGAATAATGAAACAACAACGTTGGGAAGTAATAGAATTGATTGAAAACGCACAAATAACAGAAAGAGAATTAGAAAGATATTTAAAAGAACTATTCAAAGGAATGATTGAGCGTAAAGATACTGATTTACTACAGATCAGACAAGATATACAAATAACGTATGAAGAAGTGGAAAAAACTGTGAAAACATTGCTTTCTTCATCTATTTCACCAGACACGACCGCACAATAGTGCTCCTCACTGCACTGTTAGTTTGACATATATTCTTCTGAGTAAATCATAATATCATATAATTTAATCAATAATAAGGAAAGCCCAACCCAACCCCAACAAATAATACTTTGGCATGTTATTAATTTATGGGGAAGTACGCCAGATAACTGCTATTGCAAATCGATTGGTCAAACCGAACTGGTGAGCTGCAAACACGTCAAGATCGCGATGTTGGACCCGGCCAACACGAACGAATTGTGGATGCTGAAGAAGAAATTTTAAATCTTGTCATAGAAGATCCTCGCCAAGTAGATGCCTCAAATTGAATTGACTGACAAACACTGCGCGAGAATTAATTACAACCTCGAAATCATACAAAAAAAAAACCCTTGAAATCACAAACTTTTCTTCCATTACGTAACGCCATAAACAACTGTCATGATACTAACATCTGTTCGTCGTAATCATTTCCAGCACGGATTTTGTGATGAAACTGAAATGTATGATTTTATCAGATTAAACCGAAATCACTTGATGTCGAGGCTCTACCATTAATATCATATCAACCCAAAACTGATCATAAAACTATCTACTTTCATTAAAATGGGAAATGTATGGCCAAGGCTCTACAATTAATATCATATCAACTCGAAACAAATCATCACATTGCTGCGCCTCAGCTGCAAGTGACGTCGGCTTTGATCAATGTGGGAAGTACGTCCTATTCTAAAATAAAATATTTGATGCTTGGAAAAGTGGTATAATGATTATCATGTTTATTATGTCTATGGATATTTATTAGCATATTCACTTCGCTTTCTATATACATCCTGCGTCAAGTGGCTGAGAAGAGTATTGAGTACAATAAAACCGCCTCATTTTAATAGATCTTAAAAAAGCACTTTGTATTACATTAGGTCTTAACAGATACCAACTATAATAACAGACTAAACTATTGTCATTAGCTGTTATATGTGATACAGGCAAATCCAAATTTTTATCACAAATACTATGGACGCATGAAGCATCTTTTAATGGTGCAGGCGATGTCAATTTTATTCGAGCAAAACCTACATTGGACGCGCAGGAAGAGTAGCGAAATCGCTGGAGTTTGAACGTAGGTGCAGAATCGTGGAAGGAAAATATATCATTTTTGACGGACTCTTAATGGAAAACGTTTCTTTGGAACGATTTTGAAACTATCTGAGGTTTATTGGTTGTAAATTAAACAACATCCACCAGTATAACCTCATTTAAGGACAAAAATAAAAATACATGCTTTCGTTATGAAATAATGAAACAAACTGAAGTTTTATTCCAAATATAAACAATAATAATTTTCATGACAACGCCATGGTATAAATAAATATGCAACATGGAATTAATCGAGTATTATTCTGCAAAGGAAATTTTTAACAAATTCTTTGATGCAGAATGTTTCGATAAATTATTAATGCAGTTATTTAAAATGAACGCTGGTTTTAAACGATCAATGTTAACAAAATGTACTCTTGATTGTTTCTAAAAATAACAAAATTTTTTGAATATTTTTAACGACTTTAAAAGGTCCTTCATATCTTGGTGATAATGGAGGTTTTATACCTTCAAGTCGAAGGAAAACAAAATCTGAATCACGCAGTCGTTTATATACAAAAGGTTTTTCAGTGGAATGTAAAGAGGTTGACCTTCAAATTGGAAAATGTTTGTTGTAGGCTGATTAGTAAAGGGTTAACATCTGTTGAGTTGTGAGAATTTACGAAAAATTCACCTGGTAAATGTAACGAGTGACAGTAAACCAGTTCTGCTGAAGAACAACCTAAATCTTCTTTCAAGGAAGATCTTAGACCTAATAATATTATAGGAAGATCTTGTTTCCACCTACTAGTTTTAACCCTAGCAATAATGGCAGTTTTTAAAGTTCTGTGAAATCTTTCTAAGATGCCATTACTTTGAGGATGGTAACAAGAAGTGTGAACTTGTTTTGAGCCAAACAATCGATTAAATTCTGCAAAAAGTTGAGATTCAAATTGTCTGCCCTGATCGTGCGTAATCGTGTGTGATATACCAAACCTTGAAAAGTAATGCGTCAACAGAGCAGTTTCAACTTGCAACAGTAGAACTTGACGTATTTTTGAGAGGATAAACTTCTGACCACCTTATAAAACGGCCAATGACTGTAAGAACAAGGTCAATGTGGATTTGTTCAAAACGTCCAGATGGAACATCAAATTTATTGAGTGAAGATTTTGTATGTTTATAAATTTTAGATTGTTGACATTTAATGCAACATTTTGTCCACGATTAATATCTTTGTTCATTTTTGGCCAACAAAATCGAGAATTAATTAAATTTTGTGCTGTTTTAATACCACAATGTGAAAAATCATTAAAATTTTCGAAAATTGCAAAACGATATTCAACAGGTATATAAATACGTTGTGTTGATGAAGAAATTTCCATAGCGTTGGTTTGATAGTGATATTTCTTTTTGTTCTAAAATGAACTTTGTGGGAGAATGTTTATTTAAAAGAAAAGATAATTGTGAATCTTTTTCTTGCGCAGTTTTAATTTCTGAAAGATTAGGATATGAAATTTCAAGTGTGTCGATATCTATGTGCAACAAGGTATCTGCCACTATATTGGAGTCTCCCTTGATAAATTTGATATCCGAAGAAAATTGAGCGATGAAGTCTAAGTAACGCCTTTGATGTGGAGTTTTTTCTGATTTTGAATATAACGAGGCTATTATTGGTTTATGGTTTGTGTAGATAATGAATTGATTGCCTTCTAAAAAATTTAATAGATGAATAAATTGCCAGCAATTCTCGATCAAAAGTCGAGTATTTTGCTTGACTAGGCGATAGTTTTTTTGAAAAATAAGCATTGGGTTGTGAAAAATTACTAATTTTTTGCGATAATACTGCTCCAATAGCCGTATTGGAAGCGTCAGTAGATAGATAATTGACCAGTTTTACAAGGATTAGTCAGAGTTATTAAATTTGCTAATTGAGTTTTAGATAGTTCAAAACTTTGATTACACTCTTCTGATCAATTTTCAATAATTTTGCTTTTATTTTTATAAAGTAAATTCGAAAGATGATATAAAGGTGCAAGTATATTTGAAAAATTTGGAAAGAATCTATGATAAAAGTTTATCATTCCCAAAAATCTTTGTAACTGTTTAAGTGTTTTTGGTGTTAGAAATTCTTTAATTATTTTAATTCTGTCATTTGAAGGACGAATGCCTAGAGGAGAAATGTGATAACTCAAAAAATTTATAGATTGCACACCAAAAATGCATTTAAAAGGTTTAATTGAAGTTCTATAATCATTTAACCTATTAAAAAGTATATCTAAATGAAAGATATGTTCTTCTTCATTTTGACTTGTAATTAGAACATCATCTAAGTAAACAAAGATAAAGTTTAAGTCTGAAGTAACTTCGTTGATAAAACGTTGGAACGTCTGAGCAGCATTTCTCAAACCGAAAGACATCCTAGTAAACTCAAATAAACCAAATCGCAGTTTTGTAAACGTCATGTTCCTTTGGCAACAAAAAGAAACATGGTTCAAATTTGATGGTTGTCCAACGTATTATATCCGGATCGTACATCAGCATTTAAATGAGCAATATCCGAATTGCGTTATTAGAACAGAAAGTCCATTTTCCTGGTCAGCGCTTACGGATCTAAGTTGTTTAGATTTTTATCTATGGTGTAGACTAAAACATCTGGTTTTTCAAGAAAAATCAAGAACCAGGGAAAATATGGCAAAGAGAATACGAAATGTCATTGAAAACGTGTCCGGGGATAAAATTCAAGCGGCAGTTGTTACGTCAAAACTAGATTAAATAAATGAATCAAGATTGATGTAAGACATTTCGAACATGTTTTTTTCTGCTTTAGTTTATTTTGTTCTATTGTCATTGTTAATGTTTTGTTGGCCCATTGGCCTTTAAACACACCTCAAAAATTGTTTTGAAATAGTCCTAAACTTGGATAAAGTGTGAAGAAAAGCTCTAGTTAATAACATTTATTTCATAGTGTTTGAGATATTAAAATTAATATTTCTATATAACATAAATTGATGTTTACAGTATCAATTTGAGTCTGATAAATGAGTTATAACAACACAAGGACAGTAAGTGTTAACTTAACGTCTTCCTCCACTTTTTGTGCCTTTTCCACAGGTAAAGCTGTTCATTTTCAAAGTAAACAAATTTAATATAAACAAACTATAATAACGAATTTTAAGCATTTCCTTCTATCAATTATGTCAATGATGGTGTCTAAAAGTCTATAAATCAAACAGTCTTAGAAAAAATATCTTTTAAAAGAACACAAAATACTCTTTCAAACAAGACCAAAAATATTCAAATCAATTGAAGGATCCACGAGATATTAAAATGACAAGATTTGAAAATGTAATGGCCTTCCCCTCCCTTATTACAACAGATATGAGAAATGTCGCAAAGCAAAAGCAATGTGGTATTATCCAAGATATCTAAATATTGTTGTCAAAGTTATAACATCATCGAACTTTCTGAGATAGCGGAAATTTTAAGTTTCTTAGAGCAGTTACGCCCCCTAGAAGTGGAATTATGAACTTCAAAATAATTTCCACCTATTTCACTTGCCCAGTTTGCTGATAAGGATTTTTTCCTCAAACTTCTAGGCCTTACCATTGCTCTCATCTACTGGGCATCCAGCAAAATCAATTATTTACCTGAGCATATAAAGTTAATACAGCTTGGATGGCAATGTAAGTTCCTGCAAATCCATATTTTTCAAACATAACCTCAATCATTTTCTCACGATTTTTTAATGGATTCATTGGAGGTTCAGTTAAAAGAATCTAAAGAAAATTTTAATGTTAATATTTTTATTTTGTAACTTTATATTTACTACCTTTGTATTTTTGGGATCAAGATTCATCTTTTTTGGTCCAAAAGTATAATCCCAAACATGACACATATCCTCCCAATTTCGTACAACACCATTTTCCATTGGATAACTTAACTCTAAAAGTGAACGTAAAGCGGATGCTTCATCTCCAACCATAAGATCCTAAGGAAATAAATTGCATTCATAAATTTTTGGTTTAATTTTTTTACGATTCATTAAACACTCTATGCAACACCTCATTTTAAATACATTGATATTCTGCTTTTATTATGAACATGAATAATAATGCACTTACAGGTAGGGTATTTTCCTGATTGCAAAGAAGAAAAGTTAATGATTATGAGATTAATTTCGATGATGAGTTTATGGTTCAAAATCTCATTAAATCATGCTTAAAAAACACAAACAAAAAACTCGCTACACATTCTCAAAACAAATAAAATTAATTCAAATCTGTTAAACTCCTTAAAAATGTAAAACACACAAATCTTACAAACAAAATCTCTTACATCAACATGGTAGTCCTGTAAATATAACATTTATTGATAACTTTAAAGTTTATTCTAATACTTTTTTTATATACAATCTGTAGTATCAATAAAATTGATGTTTCATCTTACCTTTACTTCAATATCTCCGATTTTATTAACCGCCCGAATAATGGGTCTACCAACCATAGATGGGAAGATATGAGCAGGAAAATTGCTTGCAGCGTATCCGCATTTTACAAACTTAAAATGTAAAAAGTTTGGTTAAAAGGATGTTGTACGCCCCCTGGGTCAATGAGAATTTTACTTACACCGGTGCCGTTATCGCAGACAATCACTTTTCTCCCTTGCTTATCCATTTTTTCATTAATTAGCTATCCGCCGGACGTAAAGGTAAAAATTATGATTCATTTAACAACACACCACACCTCGACTTATCAAATAAAATGTAAACTTGACGTTTATCTTATAACTTCTCGTTGAAATGTCGATAGACGGTAAAGTAGGCAACTTCTTTTAACGTTACATTTCTTAAAAAATTATAATTTATAACTTCTCAAAATAAGAATTATTAACATTAAAAGGAGTTTTAGAATCAAAATATATTTAAATTTAATAATTAACTTCATTAAGTTTATTTAATTTGTTAATTAACAGTGAAATTATTACGCCATCTATCAGTTGTCAAGTGCCAACCTTATGTCAATGTGAAGTAAAAATGTTTGCCATTTAAACAATAAACATAAACGATTTGTTAAAACTTTTAATCGCGTCTCTATTTGTACGGTGATAAATCGTTTATTCAACTCACAATTAACCATAAGGTAAGTTATTGAAACCACAATACGCATTAAAACCAAAAAATAGATTGACATTTAACATAACCTATCTACATATAACAAGATTACAACATTTTATAGATGTCATGAATTTACAATTAAACGATATTTTTACTGGACAACAACCGTCCCGACAGTGGACACCGTTAATTAGCCAACAGGTAATCTAATAATTACAATAAAAAATTAATTTTTTATTCTATTTTTAATTTTTTTTAGTTGAGACTTCGACACTTGTATCGAGTTACCGCTTATAATGTTATCACCGATAGCGATGGAGACTTTTATTATACTTTACATCAAACATCTATGAGTGCACCTTTTTATACTAGTGAAAAAGTATCTAGTTGTAATCCAAGATGGGCTGAAATACGATTACCATTTATCGCTAATTCTGCTGTAAAAGGTACAGTTTTGCAATGTCTTTATGTTTATTTTATGTTTTATAATAAAATTATAGCTTGTGTATTGAGAATATGGCAAACTTCAAAATCAGAGTCGGATAAAATTGTATTAGCATGGGGAATAAATTTCTCTGGTTTAGTATATTTAGGAAATAAGTTGGCGGATGTGCAACCGTCTTCATTTAAGGATAACACTGTGATATTACACTTACATAGCGGATATTTTACGAGTTCCGCGAGTTTACGGACCGATTTGCAAACATTCGTTCCATTTATAGACCATTTGAACATTGTTAGTACAGAAGATAATACAAAAGTATACAGAACTGTATCAATTCGAATTCCATCTAGAGATATTAAAAAAAGTTATAATGTAGAAAAATTGCGAAGGCTTCAATCATTACAACTTACATTAAAAAATAAAAATTTGGAGTTGGATCATTTACGAAATAGAATAAGTAAACTCGCTGGATATGATGAGGATAATACGGTTGATTCTGATAGTCCAATTATGGGTCAAGATTCGGGTATTAGATATGAACCACAACCGCTAACAATGAATTCATTAAATAAATTATTACACGTAAAATAATTACATTTTAATTTTGTTTTATTCAATTTATATTTTTTAGGAAAAACCGACGAAATTCCAAAAATCTGAAATTATTAGGATATCCAAAGAGGTTGAAGCTTCAAGATTGAAAATAAAGCTTTTATCACAACAAAAAGATAAGCAGGTAGCTCGTGTTAGACAACTGAAAGAAACTCATATAAAAGTTTATGAAAAAAATCAAGAAACAGGTAAATAAAAATATCCTTCTTATTTTTTATACATTTATTTTTATTCTATGCTTAGAATCAACCTTAATGGAAAGTTATCGTCAATTGAGTAAAGAGGTAGAACGTTTGAGAAATTCTAAAAGGGAACAAATCCATCTTCGTGAGATTTTATTAGAGGATAATGGACAACTTTATCGAAGAAGGAAGCAGCTACTTAACCAATTATTAGATTTGTATCCAATTGAAACCAATAGTGATCAAAAATATAATATAAATAACGTTTATTTACCAAATTCAGAATTATTAAATGGTAAGTAATATCTTTATTAACCCTGGAATGCTACATTATACTGGGGTATAGGTGTAGCATTCCAGGGTTAATTAGTAGGAGTAGCTTTTTTAAATCATTCCATTTTAATTAGTAAGTTAATTAGTAATTCAATGAAATGATAGCAAAAATTATATTAAAAAAAGTGAATGCCAATTTTAGAATTTATTAATATTCTTATCTGCTATTAAATAGAAATGTATTAAGGAATGAGTGTTTCCAGCTAAAATGACGACTGCAAAGATTATATTTATTTTTAAAAAAGGAGTTAATAATCAGTGCGAAAATTATACATATATGTGGACCTCAAAGCCAAACAGTATTAAGTGACATTTTTTTAATTTTACAGGAGAGCAATTTGAAGATTTTGAACAATAATGTTTTTCAAACTGATTACTCTTATAATATTAGCTTGGGTTATTATTTTCCAATACATCAATTTTTTTTAATAATTTTAAAATAATTGAGGGACAATGCTGTTTGGTTCTAGCAATAGAATTAGTATCTTGTGATTTAATACTCTATTTTGTGTCTTAACATTGTTTAGGTCCTACTAATTTATAGATACATGGGACTTGATACTTAATTATTGTTAAAAACCAATGGTAGAACAATGCAAATTTGTAGAGTTGCAATTTTGTAGAACAAAAGCTAATTCATATTATTTACAAACTCAATCTTAAAGTTAAAGCAACAAACAAATAATTAAAATAAAAATCATTACATTTTTCAGTTAAAGTATTCATGGAATCTTTTAGGTACCCCTGTTAGAAACTTTTGCAAATCATTATACCTTTTAGTTGAAATAGGTTTTAGTGTATCTCTTATTGGTTTCAGCAGCAATAAGATAGCATTGGGAATAACTTCCTTAGAATTAACAGTACTTTTCTCTTTGCTTGTTAGTTTTTTAGTGGCTCTCTTGAAATCAACTTGTTCAAAATTTTCTTGATTAAAATCTGCTTTAAAATATATTCTTTATATATAAATTTATTACATTCCCAGACAGACTCTTGACATCTACTTGATGTAATCTTTAGACGTTGTGGTAAGACGGAAGAAAAGGCTGTGGTTGCTCTTCTTCAACCACAGCCTTTGGACATATTGGCTTTGTTCCAACAAGCGGTCCACCTCAAACAATTCAAAAAGCCAAAAAGTGTAAAGTGCAAGCATTCTGCAAGGTACTTGGTTAAACCGCTAACGCATTTGTAAACACATCCTTCACTGACGGCCGTTTTCCGGATGAGTTGAAAAACACAGTAATAATCCCAATCTATAAAAAAAGAGACAAGTCCTGCTATGATAACTATCGTCCAATAGCACTCATATCGAATCTTGCAAAAATTTATGAGAAGCTTGTACACAACACAATATAATATATTGCACGAGAATCAAAACAAACCGAACTTGCAATGTTTCAACTGTTGGAAAATATTATCTTGGGATTAAATGGAAAATAGGCCACAACAGCATTGTTCATGGATCTTACAAAAGCCTTTGATAGTGTACATCATTCAATCCTTTTGACCAAGTTGGAGAGACTTGGCTTTAGAGGTGTTAGCTTGTCATAGATGAAATCCTATCTATCAGGGAGGTTACAATGTGTAGTTGCGCACAGTGAACAGGGAACAGAAATCAGATTAGCTTGGAGAGAAGTCAAGCTGGGAGTACCTCAGGGTTCCATATTGGGTCCTCTATTGTTCCTCCTGTATGTGAATGACTTACCACGTGTAACGAACAACATTACCATAATGTTTGCGGATGACACAACGACCGTGGCGAGATGTAGCACTGATTATGAAATCCAGAAATCACTTACTGTGGAAACTTGCGGATTGGTTTGAAGCGCACAACATAAAATTAAGTACAAAAGAAACGAAAATTGTTAACTATCACATATGCCCTGACCAGATCAAGGCGAGGTATCGGGATACTGAGATTGCCAGTATTGAAGACATTTCGTTTCTGGACTGTCTTGGACCAATCATATTAATTTCTTTGCTGGCAAGATCAGTCATTTCTCATATGCCATTCGGATTATTTCCAGATCAGCTGGCATTAAATGCCTATTATGCATATGTTTATTCCTTGCTAAGATATGGAGTTGTCTTTTGAGGCCCTGGTGTTGGTATAGATAAAATCTTCATACTACAGATGAGGTGTAAGAGCAATCTTCGGTCTAAAAAATAAATCTCAAATATCTACCTTGCATGGAATTTATATTCTGGAATGTGCCGTATTGGTTATGAAGAATTACTTTGAATTTTTCAAAAAATATGAAATATCACATCCTCGAGACACACGGGAGAAGGTGAACTGCTATCTGGTGCCACCAAAAACGCATCTTACTAAGATTCAGAAGACGGCTCTGTACCAGAGTATCAAGATCTACAGTCACATTTCGGAGGGTACAAGGATCTTGCCAGTTCCAAGATTCCGGAGAAGACTGAGAGCTATAGCCACGGAAAATCCGATTTATACCATTGACCTGTTTTTCCAATTTAATCTTTGAATTCAATGTGTATTATATTACAATGTAATTATTGTTAAATTGGCGCACTCTATGCTTTTCGGTAAAATGGAGTAATAAAGTATTATTATTAATAAACTGATTTGATCAGATACTTTGTTGACTTAAATGTCATTGTAATTCTGTGAAGCATATTTCAAATATATTTATAATGCCATGTTTGTACATGTTGTACATTTACCTACACAATTCATATACAGCAACAAATATTTATGTAACACACTAATCCTGTATTTTATGAACACAATACTTCATCTAAAATGTTATTGAGCTCTCTATGTCAAAAAACTTCATCACCAAATCATTCAGGAATTTAAGTTATTTATAACTTTTTTAAATAAATAATCTTTACTATTACATTGAAGAGTGCCTAAGTCCAGAATAAATGTAGTAATTATATTATCTTTTATAAACGCTATTTTTATATTTAATTGTTTTATTTCTGTTTTTTTTCTTTAAGACTTTTGTTTGAAACAATATTTGCTGTCGTTTTATTGAATTATAAGTTAAATATCATTGGTATTATTTAAATGTCAAAACGTTATGTATTTAAGACAAAAAGAATATCTAGATTATCTACAAATATCATTTTTGTAGATCACCTTGTTTACAAATCTTGAATTTTGAATGTTTTTTTCTTTTTTAATACAGATTGTTCTCAAGATGATGTCGCCGTAGCTTTAGGATTTGTAGCCCACATATTAGTGATGTGTTCTAATTTTCTACAAGTACCATTAAGGTATCCAATAATACATATGGGTTCAAGATCAATAATAATAGACCATATTTCACCTTGCATAGCAGATTGTCGGCAGCAGTAAGTTTTTTTTAATAATTCTTTAAAATTATTATATATTTATGTTATTTAAACAACCACAGATGAGTTAACTTTGTACTCATAAATAATGTCACAATCCTTTCTGAGTAATTATTTGTAGCCAAACGAAGAATTTTAAGTTAAAATCGTTTCACCATAATCTGCGAAAAATCTAACAAGAGGTATTTTGTATGCTTTCATGAAAAATTTATTTCAAAAACGGCTCGAAGTGTTTTCCATAAAATTATACCTTATACAGTTTTGAATTTTTTTTAAGGGGAATATAAATGGCTTTTGTTCTGAAAGAAATCAAACATCAATATATCTTGTTAACGCTATCCTTCCGCGCCAAATCTCACGTTTATTACACTATTTCAAAAAACTGCTTTCGGGATTTAATTCCAAATTCTAGAAAGTATATCCGTTTCCGAGATGACATCGTTTTGGAAACTAACCCTTCTAGTGCATGACATATTTCTTTTTAAGTCAAACTCACACGTAAACTATGTACATTCCGCTGTTAATCAAAACAAATGTTACTAATTAAATTCTTGAATATCGTTTAAAATCTTTAGAAAATTTTGCAATCCTCTACAAACCCGAGACATTCACTACAAATCTGAAAGAGCTTTCAATTCTACACAAAAAAGGTAACCTTGCTTAAATTGTCTAAGTCTACTGGTTTCCAAATTATCTACTTTTAAATGTTACAAAGTAATTTTTTCTGAAAGTGAAAAAATACATAGACATCCTCTGAACATCCTTTAATAACTGAAATAACTACTCAGAACACGTTGTGCTAATGCAAAGTACATACATATATATATCTGTACATATCTCAATGTTTATTTTTGTATTTACATAATAATTCTTTCTATATATATTTTTTAGATACCCTCTTTACTTACGTGGAAAAGATCGGTATCAATTTAATTACGCTGTATGCCTACTAAATAAAAATATAGCCCAATTGCGATGGATTTGCGGTTTACATACACAAAATTTAAAAGCAACGTTACCAAATTTATTAACATTTCTATTACAAACAGCCGAATTCACCCGCCCGAAACCGATTGAAAAAGATACTACGAAAAGTGACGGTGAAAACAATGGGAAACATGATGATAAGGACTCAGTTGATGGTAGTAAAAAATATGGTTCCATTTATAGTTCGACAAATAGCATTCCATTTAGTTACGTTTCCGCGCAAAACGCTTCCGATCCAATTTTGGAGTCATTGAAATTAGAATATCAAGAGGAGAAACCATTTGTATCGACGTTTAAACCTTCTGAACGACCGGCGCCTGTGAAAGTTGTTCAACACGAATCTAGTCTTAGTCAAGTTTTAGCTATTCCGGAAGCTTTTCTTACTCAACAAATCAGTCCGAATTCATTTAAAAGTTATATGAATAAACGAACGATAAATGAAGATATAAAGATTGTTGACTCGACGAGAATATTAAACTGTGATATCGTTGATGGATTAACAACAAGAACGAGTCCCATAGAACAAGGTGTTGATTTAACAGATCCTGTTGTTTGCGAACAATTAAAAATTGTCGCAGATGACGGTAAACAGCGAATTAAATCATCTGAACAAAATATTTTTCTTGCCAGTAGACGTTTAAGTAGATCAGTTGGATCGTACGATGAAGAAAAAGAAAGCGATAAAGAATTGAGTTGTAGCGCAACTGGATCAGATTCAATTTTAACTACAGCTAAAATGTTACCATCACCGGTTATTGTTAATAATAATCAAGCGGTAGAACAGGGAAGTCGAGTTCAAGAATGGCTAATAAATGCACCATTAGAATCAACAAGAGATATGGATAAAGGTGAAAATATATTAACAGAAAGAGCTGATGCGTTGCTTAATACTACATCATTTCATTTGGTAAAACCAAAATAGAAACATTTTTATTGAATTTCATCTCGAATATTAAAACATTTAAATAGTTTAATATTTTTTTACAAAGGCAAATGTAGTATTTGTTCGAAATTATGCTGATTATTAACTAAATGATGTATATTAATTTATTTATCAACAGAAAAGAAATTCATTATTGTTACCATTTTATTTAAATACGTAGTAAAAGTATTGCATATTGTTATAAAAAGCAGTAATTAAACATCTTTTAGATTTTTTTTTGAAGATATGCTGTATAATGTAAATAGATGACTTATATTATTGTAATTGAAAGGTAAAATCGATTCAAATGGGTCTTTTTTTTAGTTGAATAGTTTGATGTATTTATTTATAATGACTTAATAAAATAAATAAATAATGTTAAACATTATGAGTTATTGTTTAACCATGAATATATTTTCTTACAATCTTCAACATTTTTTATTACACTATATCAGCTGCTTAATTACTGAAGAAACCTGTTGCTATATTGACGTCCAAAAAATTTCAATGGTGATCTTTTTATCCTTGACATCTGCAGTTTCCCAGCTGTTCTAACTCTATTACTACATAATTAGTCAAACTGTTAGCAGTGGTTTTCTTAAGGGTTAAACAACCAAAAGAAATTTTTCAACAGTAGAAACGCCACGAGTACAATTCTTTATTATTTTGTCAACAATTTTAGTCTACACGTGTCAATTGTACATATATACTCTTTTTTGAACTTTTATTAGATTAAGTGACAGCATTGGCTCAAATCGGGCTATTTATTTTGCTAAGACTATTAAGTTGCTGCTAATCCTTCTAAAATATATCCAACGCAGTCTTTCTTATTCAAGTAAATCTGGACTATAGAGTCAATTCAAGACATAATCTTTGTGCAGTTGGATTGACATTAGACACGAAATGCAGTTAAGGGCATCCTTTTTTTGTGAATCATCTAGCCTCTGTAACCCGGATTTGACTTTTTAATGCGTTCACAATCTACAGTAATGATTGGACCTCGTTATGCATCACTTGACTAAGCAACAAACGAATAATGTTGAGCAAAACGAGATTTTCGTTTTCATCTCTCTAAAAATATAAGAGTTCTCAGAATAGACAGGCTCAAACTATCGAAAATTGTATGGTGCCTGTTCATTTTTATAAAGAACACTGATGACAGCTATCACAAGCATAGAAGCCGCCGTTTCTGTAAGTCGTGGCATAAATTTGATCACTAATACTAGAGACAAAGTGATGATTCGTTTAAAAATTTTTGAAGAAAATAATCTAGAGTTTGATTTTGCACTTTTAAACTGGTTTTTATTTTATATAGAATTTAAGTCTAACCAGTTTCGGCCCTTGGCAATCTTCAGAGACTCTACAAATAGATTAACATCTCTCATCTTATCCATTTTACAAAAAAAAGTTTCTTAATATTTTTTTTGTTTTGTTAAAAAACATCACATATCAAAGTCGAAATCAGATTATTACTTACTAATTTACAAAATTAAAGTTTAAAAAGTTGTAAAATGAAATTAACGACGAAGTGTTACAAGTTTACAGGTTAAAATTTAAGAAAGCTCTTTTTTTATCCAAAGAAATATTAAAAAACTTTTCATCAATGTGAAATGACCCAAAAACACGTTAAAAATAAAAAGAAAGTGCGGAAAAGTGACTAACACTAGATGAACTTCAGTTATAAAACTTCTATTATATGATAACTAACTTCATGTTTAAAATGTCAACCTCAATTTTGACATATTTGTAATATTCATTAAAAATCCTTTAAAATGAGTACAAACACGACATATTTATCTGCAATATTAATGAAGTTATGGTCAACTTCCGGTTAAGAATGTCAACGTCAATTTTGACATATTTGTAATCGTTGTGAAAAATCCTTTAAAATGAGTCCAAATATGATACGTTTAATTCCAATATTACTCGAGATATAAGCAACTTCCGGTTTGAAGTGTTGATGTCATTTGATATATTCTTAATGTTTATAAAATGACTTAATATTTGTCACAAGAACAAAAATATAATATAAAAAGCTAAGGTTGGTATTAATATTTAAAAATTAAATTGCTATCTTCATTGTTGCTAACTTAGGGTTTAATGTTTTTTATTGTAACTTTTTTGTTTTTTGAGATAAGTCATCTTTGGACTCGTTTTAAAGGTTTTTTTAGAGAAGATGACAAATATGGCAAAATTGACGTTGACGTTTCAAACCGGAAGTGATTGTATTTCCATTAATATTAAAGGTAAGTATGTCGAGTTTGGACCCATTTGAACGGATTTTTTACGAAGTTGACAAATATGTCAAAATTAAAAGTTGAAAGTTCGAACTTTTTGGTCTTTTGAGATAAATTCGTCAAGTTTGGACTCACTTTAAAGGTTATTTTTTGAAGATTACGCATATATAGCGTACTTTCTCGAATGTAATCCGCACGTTTCTTCTTATCTGTCCAAAGCATTGGTTATATAAAACTTCTTAAATGATGTTATAATATTGTTTTCAGGGATCGTTTTCCATGTCGCCTACACTCACTGAGCAAGTTCAGAAGCTCGTTTAATTGCTCCCGATTTTGTTAATTCTCGAATTTGTTAATATACATATATATATACACAGGTTGTAGTATGGATGTCATTCCACAAGGTATTATTATTATGACAAGAAGTCTAAACCAAGGGCAATCAGTCTATGATTAATTAATATCCTTATTTAATAATCCTCCTGGTCTACGACTCCATACTTGTCTTAACTATTCCATCATCAGCTTTTCCATTATCCATCCTTTTTGTTGTGCTCTAACTAAGACGTCATTCGGGAAGTCTTTCAGATTTCAGAAGGTTTTTTTTTTTCAATATTAATAATGACAGCAATTTTTCCCTATCATATGTTACTGCTATCATCAATGTTATGTGCATTTTTTCGCAACCACTCGTTTATAAAGAAATTTCCAACACACCTCTTCTTTCCAGTGTGAAATTGGGTGGCTAGATATGCCACCCAATTATAACATTCGGATTTAGTCTCTCAAGACGCCTAAACCCGAATGATTCTAGTTCTAGGTCTCGTCAATATGCAACATAGTGATATCTTATGCTAACTAGCGCTACCTACCGCTGTCGTTTGTAAAATAGATAAGATGAGAGATGTTATCTATTTGTAGAGTCTCTTCTGCCAAGGGCCGAAACTAGTTAGACTTAAATATTATACAAAATAAAAGACTTAAAATTTTATACTAACATCTGGAAAACGACACGGGTCCGAAATTGTAGGTTCATCTATTTTTTCTATTGCAGAATGTCTTGGTCTATCTAAGTGTCGTGTCTAAATCCGTTCTTAGACGTATGATGCTAATCGGACTTGAAATCGTATAAAATAAAACAAATAGTATTTTAGGTCTTTCGGTATTCTGTATTTTTTCTAAGATAAGTTATACCTTTACTTACCAGACAGCATGAAAATCTCTAAAAACGATAAATTGTCGCTTAGTCAAGTGATGTATAACGCGGTCCAATTGTTAGTGGCCATTTTCAATTCCACAATCATAGTTGTAGACATAGATTTGGATGTGTTCTAGATATTGGTTCATTATTTTGACGCTTTCTATGATGATGTTAAAGGAATATTTTTAGCTGGGTTAGGGTTCGCTCGAATAATTTGGAAGCTGACTTACACGGGTTTACATTAAAAAGTATACTTACACTAATTAGCTAAGCCTGCTCCATACAATAAACCTTCAACTTCATGTTCATCGTTTCGTACCTGAATGAATAACTTGTCTGCCGATTGATAGAACCTATTTGCCCCCGAGATCAACGCTTTAGATCTTCTACGTAAGATTTTAAAGGAAAGAAAATCTGAGAGATTACCATATTTTTTCCATTTTTTTATGAAATTTTAATTTTTCTTATGTTACCTAATAGTAGAAAGCGAATACCAACTCGGGTTGCTTACTAAAAGTGAGACGCGAAACAAATTCAGTATTAATTCGGTTCAACTGGCAGTAGAATACATCACACATGTCAAAACATATTGTCAAAAACTGACGAGCAACCCTACTAAAATGCGCTGGTGCACTATCGTGCATAAACCACATTGAATTTCTTATTGGCAATGGTACATCCTCTAGAAACTGATGTAACGTTTGTTTGTAAAAGCTGCAACACACTTCGCCGGTAAGTCCTCTTGGTAGAAATACTGGTCCAACTAGCTAGTTACCCACAATTCCAACCCAAACGTTCAACAAGAACTGACGTTGAAATCGTTCATCACTTAGATGTGGATTTTCTTCAGCCCACACCTGATTATTGTGAAAATTCCTCATTACATTTGTTGAAAAATTCGTTTAATCAGTAATAAGAATCAAAGTCAGTAATTGAAGTATTTGAACCAATTTGCCCAAGAGCCATTGACAGAATGCTAAATGTGGAAGAAAATCAGCAGGTAGAAATGCTTGAACTCGTTGTAAATGGTATGGGTACAACAAATAATTTTTAAGAATTTTCCAAACAATCCCATTAGAGTAAAACCTCGATATAACGAACTAATATGGAGAGAGGGGGTGTCCGTTATAGCCAAAAATCCGTTATATAGAAAAACAGTCCCGAAAGTCCCGAACACATTTTTTCTGTTATAAGGCAAATATGAATCTTTAATACTTACCACAATTGAGAGTTATTCCAAGACCAGGAAGAGGTATATAATGTCAATTGTTTGCTATCAAATATAAAATGATTGAACTATTATATATTATTTATATACTTATACATATTAGTTACACGAAAAAATGATATTATGTACTGGATGTCGAAGCGCCACCATCATCACTTCATTAGCTATTTCATGTTACGTCATAATATGATAACCAGTATCACCGTCATGCATTTCTAGCCATTGTAATATATCTTCTTCAGCTAGTTCTCCTCCAACGCTACTTTGTATAGCAGTACAAAAATCAGGAACCTCTAATCCTTCCAAATCAATATCTTCATGTTGGTCGTCAAATAGATTCGTCCACCCATTTTCTAATGTTTGGCCTTTTACTTCCTTCCATGCAGCCGCGAAATTAAAAATTGTGGACTTTAAATTATACTTTTTTAAATTTTCCAACGTGCGTTGTCTTCCAACATAACCATTACCTCGTCTAAAAATGTTCGTCTATATATTCGTTTGGTGGCCAAAATTATTCCCTGGTCCATGGATTGAATTATCGATGTTCTATTTTTGGGCAAAAACATACAATTAAATTTACCATCGTCAGATCGTAAAATATTTTCAGATGGATGAGCAGGTGCGTTGTCTAAAAGCAATAAACATTTTACATCATCTGGTGGTATATCAAGCTTCTCCTTAAAAAAGCAATCTTTGAATATATTTGCTGTGAATCACGCCTTTTGTGAATTATAATACGAAACGAGAAAAGTTCATTGTCTTTTAAAACTCTGGGTTAAACTCTGGTGTCAGTCTATGCGATCCATCAGCGTTAGCACAAAGCAGTGCTGATATTCTTTCCTTTCCGATTTTTCTACCGGTTGTCGATGTTTCATATCTAAAAGTTATATTGGTATTTTCTGGCAAGGCATGCCATAACAGACCAGTTTCATCAGCATTATAAATCTGGAATTGCAGTAATATTTCAAGATTTATCCGTTCTATTAATTTTTATCGGAAAGCTTCAATGTCTTCTTTTGGGGAACTCCATGACTTTTGCGAGAGCCATCCATCACTTGCTTTGAATGAAATTATGTTCATATGATTAGCTAATTTAATTGCAGCAGATTTAAGTTCAACTGCTCGCACTGGAACCCCACAAGAACGTTGTTGTACATACCACTTCAATAACGCTTCTTCAAGTGAAGTTTCACGTGCCAATTTCATTCGTTTTCTGGGATTCATTTTCGCATCTACTTCGCAAATCAAACTAAATTTGTTTAGTTTGTGTTTGTTTTTTTTTAATGTCCGAAACCGTTTGTTGAACTTATAACGACTTTTTAACACTTTTTACTTTAAACCATGACCGTTGCGTTCGAATAGATAACTCTGGGAATACCCGGAGTTTTATTCTTAACACAGAATATCGCATAGAGAAATTCGGGTTATACCCCAAATGTCGGGTTTGATCGATGATTGACGTTCATCGGTTTATATTTACATATGTACTGTTATCTATTAAACATATTATATTAATAATATTACTTAAAAATATTTTAAATTTTTATACTTAGCGAAAATAAATTTTATTTTATTTCAAATTAAAAAATTTTACATTATTAAAAATAATGAATTTAAAATATTTTGTCCGTTATATCGAGGTTTTAGTACTTACATTCAAAATATTTGCAATTATTCGAGTAGAAATGCCTGGTTCTTCCTCTATTATGTTCAACACATTCTCTTCCAGTTCTACCGTTCTGACTGTCATTGGCCCTCCTGATCCTCCGCTTCGTTTCAATGTGCCTGTTTTATGCTGTTTATAATTTCAATCGAATTCTCGATAAATTCGACAGATTTTATCAATCGAGAGATGTTATATTCAATTAAAATAACAAAATATTAATAATAAATAAACTGTATTTCTTTTCAATAGACTTATTAATCAGAATGTTGTTAAAAGATACTTTTATTTCGGCTACATTATCAAAAATGGTTCTGCTAAAAATTTGTTTATATTTGAATCAAAGCAAAAATCAAATTTGAATAGCCCAAAAAATAACTCCTTGAAATTTTGCCGCATTTTTAATAACCATCCTGTATATGCGATGAAAATGATGTTATGAATCACAGAAATATACTATATTAAAATAAAACTCATATTTATAACATATTACTTTATATTGTTCTTATATACTTAAAATATCATTCACACATTTTTTGTAGATTCTCTTTAAACAAGCGGTCATACTTTTTTTAAATAACATATATACAAACAGTACATTGACCATCCAGCTAACAATCAGGTATTATATGATTGTAATTACAACAATTTAAGAAATAAAGTTGTGTTGTGAATCGTTTATTGCATGTTTTTCAGGGTTGCTTTAGACGATTCACAAACAATTAGCGATTGATAAATATCATGTTTCTATCCGACTCGTGCTATAATTTTTTTCTTAATCTCCTTGATTTTGTAAAATGTGGCGGCATATAACCTGAGCCCTTGGGTACATACCGACAGTCTTACAACAACAATCGTTTTAAAATAATAATAAAATGGTTGCAATTAATTCCTTTTTGTTTTAATAAATTAAATTACGATAAGGAGTTAACCGCAAAAAGGCCTTCAACATTAATAGAAACCGCTTTTTTGTCGATCGCTTATTGTTAATAAATAAATCTGTACAAAAGGACAAATATAAAACAATTTATTTGTGTAGTTTTAAATTTGTCCTTGTTATTTTGAATGTAACCCTGAATATATTTTATAATATATTTTGAAATATACAGTAAATTTGTCATATAAAAAATTCTTAAAATTACTTCGAAACTGTGCACCGACAGAGAGAGGGGGAGCAATTTTAAGAATACATTATTTGTGTTTGTTTTTTATACACCTTTTTAATGTTAATATTAGGTGTAAGGACATCTTACGTACATATAATAATATTTATGTATACACGTTAAGTTACTATCGTCGTTACGTAGCTTCTCGATTTATTTATTTAATTTTTATTTATTTATTGAAACGAAAACACTTAGTATGTAACTAGCGTAAAACGTATATATACTTTTCTTTAAAGATATAATTTTTTTGATATAATCTTTTTATTGTAGTTTCTCGTTTTAACGTATTTCTTTTAAAATACATTGTAAAGTCTATTGTCGAAAGGTGACGTCGATTTTTTATTTTCGCTCCATTTTTTCTTTTTTTTATTATTATTTATCTTTTATTTTTTTTTGTTTGCACATATTTAAAGAAAACGAATTAAGGTCACGATATACATGCAACGTTTAGAAAATTCACTTTAAATATATGTGAACATCTAAAAAATTTTCAACATGAGTTGTTTTAAAAATTTTAAATAAAAAAATGCTTTTTTTAAATTACAAACGCTACATTGTGTTACATTACACAGTGAAAATGCAGGAAAAAACGAAACGTGGTAAATTAATTAATTACATTTAAATTACTAATGAGTACATGTAAAAATTAAAAAAAGAAGTGGATGTAAACGATATTGCTTATTTCTACAAACAAATTATAACAACTTATTTAAAAAAAAACGTACATTATTTTAATGATTGGAATTATTTCCCTGAATTATACCCATTACTAATTTAAATACACAATCTCTCGAAATACAACATTCTTCTTTTTAATAGATTCGAATCCTCTCTCTTTCTTTTTATTTTTTTAATAAAGTGTAACGTTTCTTTTTCTTAGGTACTCTTTTTTTGTAACCGCCAATTATGGGACAGGTTGTGATTTACCTAAATTAAAAAATAAATTAGAAAAATAAACAGTCTTGAAAATGTAACCGGGAAATAGAAAAATCGATGGTTTTTAGTGTTCACAACCGACGCATGATTGAGCACTGGTTAATTACGGTTGATTTCTACGATATTAGTATAATAGGAACAGCATTAAATTATCAATACAAAAAAGTACAAACATTTTTTGAAAGTTAAAGAAAACTATTTAAAAATAAATCCTTTTCGGGTCATCGCTACGTCATCTTTTTGATCTGATTTAATTAAACTTGTAAACGCAAATAAAAAATATATTAAGTTTCCATAACTAATATGGAAATGGTGGTATCGCAAATCAAAATTATTCCGTCTAAATATATTAAAGAATTTAAAAGCAGTAACTGGAGCGTTTTTATGTTAGGTTTTCTAACCGCAACAGGAAAATCATGATGAGTAATAGAAAGAAGTTTCGGAATATCTAAAACATGGAAAAACTGAAGTGACTAAATTTTATCTCTATTCGTTTTTTTACAAGATTAAGTACCATTACAAGAATTGTTTATGATAGTCCTATAAAATTTGCATGGCATATTGTTGATCATATACTCTTACAATACAATACCAGATATTATTTTATAGTTATTATTCGCATCTTTCAGTTGAAGATGTTGACTATTATGTTGACAAGTTTTCTTTTCACTGCTGCCATAGGTTTCTGCCACATTACAGAAGTAAATATAAACACGACGCGTAATTTATGGCTATATTAATGACATTCTAGGTACTTTGGCAACTGCATAATTTATGGATTAAACAGAAAATTAAAATTAGATTTGTATTAGGTTACAAATTGAAAATGTATGTTGTCTTTGGAGGAAACAGGTTGACTTTTTCATTTAATTCTGAAGTTATTTGCAAGATTTATATTAAAAGTTAAATGGGTTGGAATCCTCTTTAGTGCTAAATTGATGCATTAGATACAGAGAAAACTTCTCAAATTCTGGGGTTATGGTAAGCTTTTATGTAGACACCTTGATCTCTCCACTATTCTAAAAAAAATTAAAATAGTTCTCTTTGCCCGTAATGGAAGATGAAGACCGTAAAGAAGATAGATGAACGTATCTTCCAAAAAACAACTTCTTAAAAGGTGTTCAGAAAAAACTTCTAAGAAGTGTCAGACCTTGTATTGATAGAAAAATTGAAAAACAATTCGTATGGAAGACCAACTTATGGCACGAGGCCAATCTACCTCAAGCAACGATGGCGAAACTGAAGGAGATTTTAATTAAGGGTACATTGATGACGCTATCTGACAGCATCTCTCTCCTAGTGATGGATAACTGCATCGATCTGATATCTGTCTTGATAGAGCGTGCTCAAGATTGTCTCTGAGTGTATCTTCATCGCAGGTAGAGGAATTTCGATTAATTGGCAATGCATCGATAGCTATATAATTTATGGTAGCAAAATTACATTAAATGCGATTATACCATTATATCTGATTTTGATGTCTAGACGTTAGTATCGGATAAGAAGGCTTTACCAAAAACTAAAGTGTCATTAGAGAAGAGAGAACTAACTAATATCATGTATAAGAAGAAGGGTTTTTGACAATTTACTAAGTTTCCGGGCAGTGACTAAAAAGCCTGATTTGGTATTCATCAAACCAGAACACTGGTTTACAATACTGTTGCCAATTTAATACGTCATCTATCTCCTCAAGTCGACTAAGTAGTGAAGTAATCTTTCGAAAGTAAACATTTTTGATTAGTAACATTTTAAATTATATTTTTCTTTCATTCTTAGTTTTTAAATATGATTTAATCATGGTTTCAACATGTAACTTTTAAAGAAAATTCATTTTCCCGATCGAATATTAATGCAAGAACCCACGGTTTTGGAGTTAATACCGCACACAAGATAGATCAGTTTTGCTGTTAGATTAGGTGTCGATAGGTGACTTAGGAGTGGTGGAATGGAAGAAGAGTAACATACCAAACTTGGAACTGCTCTTATTTTCTGGAGATAAGCTGGATGGAGCAATCAAGAAAGTGTGCAGAAAGTAGATGTGACGGGAAACAAAGAAAAATATGATAGAATTTGTTTATCTATACAATGAATGCTTTAAAAATAGAATTTTTCAATACTCCTAAAAAATGTCAGAATTGATATTGATAGAAAAGCAAAAAACGACTAGTACGGAAGACCAAGCAATAAAGCAGGTATGATAAACAAGGAAACGGCTAAACTAAGGAGTTGTAGTAACAAATAAAAGAAAAAAATATCTTATTTAATGGAAAAAAGAATAATAGCTGAATGGAATGTCTTTTATGATAATGCTATGAGAATGGAAATAGAGAGAGGCGAAAACTTAATAGTCTATAGCAACATAACCATAGATGTAAGTCATGCTGCATCCCACTTTGTAGAATAGAAGATAGTACATAACTTCGCTAATCTAATAGGTATCATCTGCATATGTTACAGTATCAGGAGTAAATTTTGATGCAATTACTGGCATGTCACCCTTTCAACTAGTTATAGGAAAACATTCAATACACGAGGAAAGGAAGGGATATCTAGGTAAATTCAGACAAATGCCAATGTGACAAAAGGGATGGTAGAAATGTACAAGATGAGCAAAATTTCTATCAAAGGAGGTGGTATTACCAACAAGAAAATCCATCTGATTTTGCAAGAGTCAACACACCATCCAGTCTTATTGACTGATCGAAACTCGAAATAACTAGAGCAGCATACCGCCGAAAATTTTATCGGGTCTGAATCTAAGACCAATAAGGAACAGTTACGGATGGAATAAAAGGAAAACTGTTAATAACGATCTTGCTAAGAGATAAAAGGTGGGCGAGACCAAAAGAAACATTAATTTGGAAAAATTTTAGAAACCGATGGCAAATCGATTGAGTGGGGATTCGGTGAAGCCTTAATTATGATGATAAACAATGAGAGAGGGAAAAATCTGTTTTTCCATCCAACCATCCATCGAGAGACGAAAATTCAAAGAAGCTGAAATCTCGCAGAACCTTGCGAAAATTGTATTCCCCTATATAGAACAGTATATCTCCAACACTATAGGCAACGTTGTTATATTTTTTAATTTGAATTTACCACACAACTTATTCTTGTTCAAGAAATGATGTCTAATGCCTTTGATTTTATTTTTGATATTATAATTACTCTCTACATTGCATTTTGGGCGATTCAGTGCTCAAATCTGTGATTTGCCTTCTACATTCTATAATGGTTCCTGAAATCGACAAGCATTTAGCTGCAACGACAACTTGACGACATTATTAGACACATCATTCTGCTAAAATATCTTATTATCATATTAACCCGATTGTTCGGGAGAGCAAAGCAAGAACGAATATCAAAATAATTTAGATTTTAGTGTTGTAGAACAATACAAGGGTCTTGTATTTTGTTTGTAGTTACCACTTTAGAGATTTTGCTCATACCAAAATTTTAATTCTATATAACCTTTTGAACTGTTCCTAAGCAACTGTACGTGTTTCAACGCTTCCTGCTGTTGAGGTGTTGCGTAAGTGTGTGTCCATTTAAAAAAACAGTAAAGGTAAAAAGAGAAAAGTACTATTCTTGTGGCAAATAGGGGTATTTAAAAGGATAGAGTGTGCAAATTCACATGTCATATAACTAAATATGGCAACAAAAATGTAACTGATTAAAGTACTAACTAACAACGTTTATGTTAGCATTGATATGTCAGTATATGACACTGTACCAATATGGTTAGATTATTGTTTGTTAGATTTATATCCAAAGCATAGTGTGTGCAACTTTTTATACAAAATCTAAGAGCTGCTATATTCAGTGTATTCATGGTTAAGGCTACCCCCATATGCCAGAAACTAGTAGAAAATATCATGTTGAAGTTTTTCATCTGGGATATTTTGTAATGCCACTAAAAAATCGTTATAATCGAAGTAATGACTTTTGAAGCTGTTGTTATAATATTTTAATAAATCAACTTCCCTTTGTCTGTCCTCATTATCAATTATCTACAAGTATTATGTCACAGATTTAGTAATGATAGATATTAAAGTGTTCAGAATATTGAATATGTCAAAGATGTTATTAATAGATTTATAAGCTTAGGCTTTTCGAAATCCAATCTGTGTCTTGAATAGCATGTTAAATATAAGTAGATGTTTTATAAATCGCTGTATTAACCACTTTGTCAATAGATTACACTGACATTAACACCAGCTCATGCACATTCTGCACACAAAAAATTGCACTGGGTATTAAATTGGTTATAGAATATCGGTTATATAGTTCACATTCTTTGAGTTGAAGTATTAATTTTTACATTATCATTAACTGTAACTATTATTTGTTTTTACTCAGATTATTGTTAGCTTTTTTAAATATCGTGTGTCAGAATTAATAACAAAGTCACATAACAACAGCTTCATGACAAACGTCTATATGCATCCACAATTCCCTATATACCATAGAAACGCTTGCAAGTAGGTTCCATACTTTTGCAAACATTGATGGTGAACCGCGGCCAGTGCATAATATCATTTTTTAGCAAGATGTCATACTCATCATACTGACTTTTATTACACAAATTGCATTCCTTGATATGTGAAACTGTAGCTAACAAATTCCTAACTAATTAGAACCACTTGTTGGAACAAAGTCCATACCTCATCTAATTGAAAATATTCTTTGCTCTAACATATGCAAATTTAGTATTTCATACGATCATCTAAATGACGTAGCGATCAAGAAAAGTGGATAAATTTTATCAAATATTGCTATGGATAAATACCTGAAACCTCAAAAGTCAACAGTTGGGTTGGCCAAATAATTACTAGGTTTTGTTATGGTCCAAATAAAAATACAGGCCATTTTGTTGTTTATTTCTGATAATAATATTGGTTATTAATTAATAGTAATTGTTGGAATTTATTTTGGTATATGTTAAAAGAGATTGAAAATTGTAGACCTACATTTCTACACTACTACAGGTAAGAATAAAGGAAGTGATAGATTGTAACATCTCTAAATAAACAGTCAATAAAAATATCCTTACTGGTACAGATTACTCTTTAGGTGTACTGTTATGTTTGCCTGAAACACCATTGATCTGTAGTCTTGCATAAAAACTTAGAACTGCTCGCCACTTCACAAATCATTTATATTTCAAAACCACCAGATTACAAAATTATATAATATAATCTGATAATATGATATAATCTGGATTAAATGCCTAAAGTAGCGTGCAGTTGCCTAAACCAAATCTTATTTATCATTTGATTATTTATTTATTCATTCATCTTCAAGCACAAATTCTTTTATCATCTTCTTTTAATCATTACGTTACTATCAAGATGGATGATTCAGGAAGAAAGTGTTTAACCTTTTGCATTCTCAGTACCATACAATTCAGTAGGTCTAAAATTTTTCCAAATCTTATAAATTAAAGTAAAAATAAAAATAGAATCCAGAAAAGTATTATAAACATAAATATTTTTTCCATTTTTACCTCCATTTATGAAAGTGATCTTTATATTTCATTCAAGCTATTGTACTAATATCGTAAAACCCACTGCGTCCGACATCACATACTAGTACTATGGCGACCGCCACAGACGCCACACTGAACACCGCACCAATAACACAACCTTAAAGGTGGATAAAACCAAAGACATGGTACAAACATCGACAAGAACGTTAAGCACAGCCACCGACGGCAGCAGTTTTCGTCGTGGTTGCATTCGCACGGATGCTGCGCGAAGTCGCCCTCGTTGTCCGATGCGCAATGATAACACAAACACTGGACGCAACCGATGCACGTGATCGTGTTGATGGTTGATCGGACACAATCCGGTGCGTATTCGCAAGCGCCTCTTCGGTTTTTGTCTTCGAAAAAGAAGTCGTGACAGTGTTTGCACCGAACCTGCGGTTTACCCGGCTTCTTTTTCGCTTTATATGGATATGGTGATTGGTGTGTGGCAACAAGTTCCAGACCTTTCTTCAAGCTACTACTTGAATCTCTTCTTGCTAATGTTGGTTTTTGACGATCTTCGACCATTGGGTATGTGTATTCGTGAGCGGAGGTGAGTTGTACATATGAATAGTTTTCAACTACTTAAAGAAAATGATTTTTTAGATGGATGATTTTGTTATTTTCATTTTTTATCTAACCTTTATCTTTTAAAGGTTCGAAAACCCTTTGGTCACCAGCGCGGTCCCTCGGTAAATAATGTATTTTGTGAAGATGATCTGTTGCTTTTGTGCTGGAATCACTGGAGCTGCGAGAGTCTTTTGGTTCTTGAGGAAGATTTAAAGTCTAACAAAAAAGATGATTTCTTACTGTTTTTTTTCAATAAGAGAATGTTATTTTAGGTCAATTTTATAGTAAGAATAAAACGTTAAAATCTTACCATAAAAACATCGTCGTCTCCAACATCTTTATGTGAAGCACGAAGAGTAAGCGGACAGGTTTCCGTCAAACCTTAAAGTGAAAACAAAAAATCGATTTAAGTCATCCGATATAATGATCTTAAATGCAGGATGTTAAGGTCACTTACCGTGTAGGAATCCCATAGTAAGGAAGCAATGAAGAAAAATTCAAATAGAGCAGATAAGAAAATATTACTCTAAGGCCCTGCGGGACACGCAGGGCTATAATTTACTACTATTAGGTGATCGAATAAATGTAGAATATTTACGTAGAGTTTAATTTTGGAGGAACAAAAGAAGGATAATAAAGAAACATGCAATTCCACCTACCGTCCAGCAGTTCTTCTACGGCTGTTCTCACACCCTTATCGAAAGCTCTGGCGTCCGCGGCGGTTTGAAATGTCAATCCGAACTTTTTGTCTCCGGTCTTCCAGTGGTGAAAAGTCGGCATAACTTTATTGTACTCGAAATCCTTTTTTATCGTACAACTAAGTACAATCTAAAAAATTTTAGTTGTGATTTTTTGTTGCGGTAAGAACAATAGTGTTTGATAAACTTACGCTTTGGTCACTGATGCGTCGCCCGTAAATCAGGTAGTCATGTTTCGGCTTGGCAGAGGTGATGTTCTCCGATCCGGGTACAGTCGAGGGTACCGGTCTCGGTTTCTTCGTAACCGAAACGTTGCTGAGTCCCCCGCCTTCCAACGGTACCCAGCCCCCCGAGCTGTCATCCCTTGACATCACCTGAGCCCGAACGCGCACCAAATGGTTCCCACTGGAAAAAAACAATAAAAAATAGTTTATTTCTCCTTCTACTCAATCAAAGAAAAGTCTCAAAGTCATGTGGAAGTATATCTGGATCGCTAGAATTTAGATCTTTGCTTACGCTTCTTTGGACTTAACACTACATTTCAGATGTATAATCAGTATTTAAACTTTGATACCACGACTTTATGACATTCAAATCTTATTGTTAGAGAAAACGTTAATTCTGATCATCGTAAATATAAATGACGAGTGTTTATATCATTCACCATATGCGTTACTATGATCTTTTTTAACACATTTGTTTTACAAAGGGAGGACAGAACAACAAATGTGATAATAAGTTAATACGCAACACCAACATAAAACCACGCAAAAGGAGCTAGAAGTACCAATTTATCTATATAAGATGTTCTGTAGTCAATTCCTCAGGATTTCAAGAAGTGACATTGTACTTTTTCAACGAGTAATTGATGTCAAGTATACATTGAGCACCATCAATTGCAGACGATATACCACCAACGCCATAACTAGTGTCTTTAGAAAGTTTGTATTAGCGTAACATGCACAACACTATGTTAGGCACAAAAAATGATAGATCAGCATCAATGAGCACACACAAGAGAATGTTGAGCTACATTCACTGTGTTCAATCTTTTAGGAAAGAACATGAACATTTATGGAAGCGCAAAGATTTCAAAAGGGCATTATATTTGAATGAAATTAAGATTGTACTCCGTTTTGAAAATATTTCATTAGTTTAATTTATTGTAGTTTGTATTGTAGTTTCTTCTTTGTAATGGAGATAAAGTCATTTATTATTATTATTAACAGGCTGCTTCCAGCCAGTGATGTCACATTAGCGTGAATCTACAAATTATCAACGTATAATACATACCTACACATAATGAGTGAACAAGACATATGATGTAAAAAATCCGAAGTATTGTTTATATGTATAGATAACAAATAAAAGACACATTAAATTGCAACGTTGAGCTACATCAGTTATAAGAGAATAATCATGTGATTGAAATTTGTTGTTAAAAACTCTCTAGTAAGATATTTCATTGAATTCAACGTGTTTGAAAACATCCCACACTAACTTTTCTTGCTCAATAACTCGCCATCATTAATTCGATGGAAGGCTTTCTCGAAATTTGTATAAATAACATCCACCTGCTCACCAACACCCATTGCATCGGCAAGGTTAAGACAACACAAATTTTTAACAGTAGTGCGTTTAGGTATAAATCCATACTGATAAAGGAAAATGAAGGACTGCATGTAGCGATAGATTGTATTATAAATGATTCGTTCACTCATTATCATCATTAATCATACAGCCTTATTGCAGACTCTTGACTTTTTCAAACTTGAATCTTCATTCCTTTCTGTCCTTTGCTTGTTTTGTCCAGTTTCGTATACCCATCTTCTTAGCGTCCTCCGTCATATCATCTCTTCAGCGTAGTTTAGATGTTATTCTACTGTTAGTACCTAGGTATAATTTCTGCCATAAATATCTTTTTTTTGATGGGTCATAGTCGCTTCTTCATATATGCCTCTTATTGATTTCTGTATTAAATTAGGAAAAGCCATACAAAATACTTCATTGATCTCATTAACATCTTTAATTTCTCCGGAAAAGATTAATGAGCGTTAACATAGCCAACAAAATGAGCTTCTACAATTCATTGCCGTCATCGCAATCACCTATCAATTGAATACTGGAAAGTTTTTTGCCAGGTGTTCAGTAAATGTCCAGAAAGTAACATTTCCAACTGATGATTCACCGTTGTTTTCAGTTGCTGTTCCAATTTGTAGTAATATCAGATTGTGCTTCAAAGCCAATTCGGTTATGCTGAAAATTTGTTGATTTAGTGTTAACCATATCTAGTAGTGCCCCGTTATTTCGAAATACTGCAGACCAGCAAGTTGAATGAGTTAGCAAATCAGCAAAGTGTCCGTCCAGCTTCGCTTTACAAGTGAGGATTCCATAACGGATTTATAATTTAAATTGCCGGCGAGTAAAACAGATTCTTTGTTCAAATGTAGTTGAGAGGTCTTCTTCTAGATTTAATTGGCCGATGTGTTTGTATGACGGCGAGAGAACTCGGACACTTGTGGCTTCCACTTTATAAAGATATGGTATGGGGTTAGACGATAGTCTATAGATGATTTGACATTTGTTTTAGCAGATTTCTTTGGTGTACTCATGCGATCGGATGGTCTAAGATGACTTTTATTAATAAACATTGTGTCTAATCTATAATATATTTGGATTTCAAGATGCAACTTTTAAATAGCCCAATCTTCTTGGGGAATTATTTATGGAAGAGATAATCTGACAAAATGTCAATTTGAAAACGAAAATTTGTACCAGTTTCATGTCGCTAGTTGGCGGCTGTGATGATTGTTAAGTCAATTCTTCTATGGCGATTATTTTTATTTTCTTACCTGGGCCGCTATGTAATTTTGACAGTTTCTTCACATTGGTATCTGTGGTGGTTTTGGTGTTAATGACATTTTCTGAAAGTGACAAGCTCGAACGGGCAACTTTAATTTTCTTTGATGATTATGGTCGTGCTTCAGAGGGTTTGTTCCGCATAAGGCTAATAAATAAGGTTGATTGGTAGGAAGGTATCTTAGAGCACGATTTGTAACTAGCAGGATATGAAGCGCCACAAATGAAGGCATATGCAACAAATGAAGCAGTGTGCAATCTCGTCTGCACACTGCAACATTTTGTGAAAATCAGAAACTTTTCCAGCTATTTACCAAAGTAAATATTATCAGATTTTTTTTAGCAATTCATGTAATTTCGCATATTTTAAAGTGCACATATTTAGTGATATTATATATATCCTGCTTATTTATAATAACAATCATAACATTATTTAAATAGCATCTTTTGTCTCTTCTTTTACAGGTGGGTGAAGTGGTGCTTGCACTTAAATACTTAACATATACATTGTCGTCAACACTCATAAGCTTCCTAGCGCTGAGATATACAGGCACCATATCAAATAGGAAATTAGCTTCTATTTTATCACAACTTCATTATGTCCTCCTAGCATTTTGGTATTTCTAGAACAAAATGCACGATGAGCGGATTTACCAATAACCACTAAGTTATATCGATGCATATCATCAGCATAAACACAATAAAGCAGTTACATACTTTTTTTGTTGCTCATTTCCATCCTGCTTATTACTTCTTCATTACTGCTTGCTTGTATCGTATTAGGTATCTTAATAAAGATATTAAGCTTAATCGGATATGTGTCAGGAGCAGTAACCATTACTCTGATAGTACTTTAATTGGACGCTCGAATCATCGAACATGCAAATCGCAGATCAATTGTAAACAATGACATCTAATTAAATACTTCTTAGCGCTCGAGAAGCTGCCCTTGTGCAGTGAGTCTAAACCACTGTTAGAAAAGCAAACTCAATGCTCTTGATTTGATTAAGATCAATTCGAGATTCGATCGAAATCTGATCGTGATCAAATTGCATGATAATAAAATTGATAAGTTGCTATTGTTATCATCACCCGAAGAGTCTCTATCTCCAGAATACTTCATAGTGAGCAAGTCACTAACGAGTAACGAAATGGATAGCATAGTAATGCAAGCTGCATGGATTGTATTAAATTAAGTATATTTATTTAGGTTTTGACAGCTGGCAAAAATTGTATTTTATATTGATGCCCAATCTATTGCATGTGAAATATGACGTCAGTTTGTATTCGAAATCACATTTATTTAATAACATTTATATTTATTATGTGATAATACGACAATGACTAAATATTTTATTAAAAAAAGTATTGCTTTTTCGGCAAACAATAAAGATCTACTTAAAGTGAATTGTTGTATTTGTTGTATCGGCATTGTTACCGAATATACGTTAAACGTTATATCTGCTATAAGATATGTTATTTTGTTAGTTTATTAATTCAACTGGAATTATCCAGAGTAGCCGAAAAATACTTTTAGGATACTTTATTTATTTCCTTAAAAAAATTATCATTGAAATTGGTATCTATTGAAGCTGTATGTTTATGAAATGAAATGAGAAAAATAAAAACGATGTAGGAAAAAAGGAACAAGTATCAACGTGTATTTTTCTAGCTTGTCGCATGTCAAGCTAGAGCGTGTTTATTTCGGTTCGAGGCAAATGTGCCCTTTCATAGGCCCCCGCAGGCGAGACACTAATGGATTTAAGCCGGGAGACCTTTGACAGTTACAAGAGAAATGGGTTACCCCCGATGCGAATGCAACCGTTTTATGTATTCCTCCCATATTTCCACTATATGGTCGGAAACTTCGAGCTTGGTCATTGATAGAACGCAGGAAATCGTTTTAACACTTTTTTTTTCAGAACAGATTCCCTCATTTAAATCTCAAATTACATTATAAAAAGAAATATCTATTTTTATCACAATACCGACTTGACTTTATAAAAAATTAAAAATTCGTCATATCCTGTTTTATTAAACGACATTAAACGTTTTTCAAGTTAGAATTCGGGTCAGCGGCTTTTTCAAAAGAGCTAATTGTGACAATCAACGAAGACGACGCCTTCAACGAACTAAACAAAACGACACAAAAATAATAGAAAAAACTCCAATTCTATTCCATTGTCGTCGTTATTCATTAGGTATGTAATTTTTAAAATTAAAAATTTTCAGTTAGCACATTTTGTCAATATGGAAACGAAAAAGTTTTGTGTGGTACTAAAATGCTGATGTTCAGTTCCAATTTAGTTAAACGCTAGCGGTTAAAGCAAAGGCGCCGCGACACCGAACTCCCTTTTGTAGAGGGGTGGTCGACGAGATATTGACGTCAGATGATGTCACCCCCGCCACCAATCTATTGGACCGCCTACCAGATCACCACGTGGTTCTCTTTACCACCCTCGATATAGGTAACTGGGTAGAAAGTTCAATGTACTATCACAAACTATTTCACTATTTTTTTTAGAATAGTGTTGGTTGTATAAACT